TACCTGTAACTAATGATACATGAGGAAAGGATTCTATCTAGAACCTTCTTTAAAATGGCAGAAGAGTTAAACATACAAGATGTATGGAGAGAGAGGAACCCAAGAGAAAACCAATACACATTCTATTCTAATAGACACCAATTCTGGTCTAGAATAGATATGATATGGATGTTGATGGAATTAAATACTAATGTATATGAGGTAGAAATAGAAACAAATCTTTAATCCAATGAAAATCAGCTGGAATTCTAGGGATGAGATGATAAGATACTAGATTGTGCGGAAATGGATAGACTAACGCTAAAAAAAAGATAAAGGAGATACAGAATACTATTCAACAATAGGAATAGGTTCTATCAATGGTTAGAAACTAGAGGTAGAAGTTAGAATGCGAAAGAATCAGGTTAGGTGGACATGGAAAGAGATACTATTTTTAATATCGATATAGGAATATAAGTATTAGAATGATAAATAAGTTGACATATTAGAATATGGTGGTCAGAAACTATTGTAGCACTGTTTAAAATAGTATATATGTTTATATACTATTACTGTTTAAAATAGTATATATGTTACTCTGTTTTCACTTTTGTTTTACGGTAATTGGAATGCCAGGATAATTACACTGTATTCAATATATTGATATGTAAACAATAAAAATGTATTTTAAAAAAAGAATAAGAGCCTTTTTAATAATATATCACTGATATAACTTAATTCATTTTTTCCTACAAGTTTTTGTTATTGGATCAGGACACCTGTAATTAATGATACATATGTACACAAAGACATACAAATACATACAAACTGTTTACTAAGCAAGCTTGGAACACAAGATTAACTACATTAGGACATTTTCAATAATGTTATGGTGAAGAGAAAGAGATGTTCACTAACTTCATAATGATTCTATCCTACGTAGCTATTTAAAATGAGAACTAGAAAAAGTATCCTATAATAGACCTGCAATATAAGATGCTCTAAATTTAATTCATATTCCAGTTTATGTTTCCCATTGGCATAGAATTAAAACAGTGCCCTAAACTGAATGTTTGAGTGTTCTCCTTCAGTAGTCTACTACTTTTTTGCTTGCTATTAGCCTAGAACGAAGGCAGTGATAACCTTGTTGTATTCACAGGTGGCACAAAAATGAGCAAACACTACTAATAACCTAATATCAAACATCAAGGGTAAATGTCAAAAAATTTGGGTTCAGATAAACCTACATTAAATAATTCAAACACATAATTTAAAAAAAATCAATATTGTTGACAGTTCAAGTTATATATCTTCTAACTTATTATATAGCAAGAGTTCAAAGAGACCTACAAAAAAACCTTCAATTATTATCACTGTAGATTGCATAGGTTTGGATTAATTTATCAGAAGTGAATATTTAATTTTGCAGGTGCTAGTGACAGGAATGTCTCTGCTACTGGAACATGTTGATACAGGCCTAGATGGGACTGATATACAAACTCATTTAATGAAGCTTATTTAGCTTAGCTTGGAAAGTTATGAAACTGGTTGTTGGAAGGAACTTTCATTTGAATAGTGTACTGTTGGGTAGTTTTTCTGGTTCATTGAATTGTGTCAGTCTCGCTATTTAAGCATTACAAAAATTTGTATACAGTATGCAGAATGCTCTTTATCATTTTATCAGATTACACTTGCTGGCACCAATGAGTCTCTCATATATTTTGAACCAATCAGAATAAGACTTTTGTAGAAAGAATTTCTTCATCAACTTGAGAATCTTATCTTGAATTACAAGAAGAGGTAACTCATATAAACAACTATTAAAAAGGCCATTTTCCCCTCAGGAAAAATTTATCTTGGGACTCTTTCCTTGTTATTTCTTCCGGAGAGATGGTTTTTAACTCAATGATGTAGAAATTTTTCAGATACTTTTTTTCCCCTGTATTGTCTTCTCAATGAAGCTTTTATCATGTAATCATCCTATCTGAAACACATAATTTGTACAAGGAATCCAAACACTGTATTTCATTTGTACTTTAAATTGCTTTTACCATATTTTACCATATTTTTTATTAGCAGAAAAAATAGAATATATGGAATCAGGTAAGCAAGAACTTTATAGTCTTAGAAGCCCTCCATCTGAAAATGTGGTATCAAAAAAATGTGGTATTATAAAATACTGTATAATAGTAATGTAACAAGTGGAAGATCTTCAGTCTCAGAGTTTTCCCAAAATTTCAGTTATTTCTGCAATGTAATCTTTGTTCTGAGGCATTTTTTATGGTGAGAAATTTTCATTCACCTGACATCCACACACAAGCCTGCATATTACCATGTCTATGTCTATAGGAGTAAACATTATAAATTTCTGTATCATAAGATAAAAGGAAGCCACTACAACTACCAAATGATTTTGAGGTTCATAAAAGAAGAACGAAATAGTTTTTTAAAGAGAATTTTACAACTGAAATAAGGACTAAATTCAGGGCGGATTAACTGTAAATGGAAGTCTAACATAATTTAAGAACATCAGGCTGGAGAAAGTTTGGTTATTTTTGTTAAATTTTTATTATCAGCAAATATAAGTGCTTGATACCATTTTTAGCTATAATACTTATTTTCTACTGCAACCCCGGTAAATAAAACAGCTGCTCTGCTGTGCCAATCAGCTGTGCTCAAAAACAAGAAAATAAAGCACAGGAAAAAGGCAGGGGTGGGTCTGCCCAGATGATCACCGGAACTACTGGTTCACTTGAACCAGTCTGAGCGGTAGAATCCCACCCCTGGTTGCAAGGGAAGACCCAAAAATGCTTTTTCAAAGGGATTTTTTTTTCCTTGAAAATGTTTTGTTTCTCATCCATGAAGTTTCTTCAGCTCAGTTCTCAGTCCAGTTGCCTTTTGAAAAGGCACCTTTGACCCGAATGACTGAGAATCTCCATAAATGTTGCCAGGGAAGATTTATTGATCTATTTTAGGCAATAATTTTTTTTTTGCTTAGCCTGGATGGGTACTGTCAATGTTAGAATCAGCTCTTACTGCTCAGGAATGGCCACCTGAGACTTTTTCCAAGGCAGTCTTTGTGTTCTGACATTTAGTCTGTTTTGATAGCATAAATAACTAAGACATCAGTTTCTCCAGTCAGTTACCATAATACTGTACCTGCACAGTTGGATCTTTCTTATTCAGATCTTGTTCACATCTTGTTGTCTGCTGCAAAGAAGATTGTGAAGCTGACACTCCTTCCTCTCTCCTCCCAAAGTGGAAAAAGCTAATTATCTGTAATAGGACACCTGAGATCAGCACCACCCAGACAAAGGAGGTAGGTCTTCTTCTCCATTTCAATCTTTCTGATTTCCTTTCCCCCACTTCCTGATAAGACCATGGTGGCTGAAGTCAAAAAGTAAAATGAGGCAGAGATGGAATGCCTTGAGAAACTCTCACAGGGGTTTTTCTAGGACTTCATTTCTATCTTGGAAATGGGAACAGAAAATACATTTCCAGGAAATTCAGGCAATACTTTGTCAGGAATTAATTTAATTTTGATCAGTCCTGCATTACTGTAATAGTTTAGAATTGTACATAAAATAATTGCGTATTTAAAATGTGTGAAGTCTTCCTAAAAATATAAAGCTATAAACTCACATTTGTATATGTAACGTATATTTGTAAACAGGAGTTATCTTATCCCTTCAGTTATTATATCAGCTATAGTACAGAGAACACTATTCTGTTTTTAATCTTTATTAAATTTATAAATGAATATAGATAAAATAAGTATATACTTGGTTAAATTTGTAAGTTCCATTTATAAAAAGTTTAAACTTATAAAAATGAAAAAGATTTCATGAACTGATTCCTTGTATATGAGAAAGGAGAACAAAATTATTGCCTGCAATATGAACACTGAAGTTTTAAAGTACTTATCTATGGAAGTTACTTAAATAATAGTAAATAGTTTACTGAATAAGTCTATAGACCATTTCAACTTAATATTTAATAAAAGTTGTCTTTGCTCATATTGAGATGAATCTGAGAATTCTTCAAACACGAACTCTACATTTTATCAATTAAAAAAAACATCTGGTATGTTTCTGCCGTATCTCATATTATTTCTGCATGTATTCAGTATATATCTGCTTACATTCCAAGTTAACAAAATCAAGAAAATACATGTTAGACTATGTTTTTAGATTTATTTTTTTCCTGAGAAAGAGCTATATATATTGACAATCATCTCCAAGATTCAGTATTATTTCTATATATCAGTTCTGGGTAATAGTGGGAGAACTCTGTATCTCTAATCAGAGCTGACTGGCCACTGAAAGAAACAAATGCTGGACTATGGTCTGAATGGGGTCTCTAGTTTTAATTCCATTGCTATTGGGCTTTCGCCACAACTTTCCCGTCTTTTGGGTGGTCTGGCAAGTTGGGAATGGAAACAAGGAAGGAATCAATGCTTGACAGGCAATAATGCTGCCTGCCTTGACAAATGCAGTAGTGGATCTTGTCTTGAATATACTTGAATCAAGTTATCCTTGATCAATTTTGTCTGGTTTTCAACTTTTTAGAAAAGCTGTTTAGGAAATCAACTCAAGAAGATCACGGAAGAAATGGATTATTTGAGCCTTTTGCCAATCAAGATTCATTTATAGTTCTGATAAACCCTAAACTGGTTGAGTGAGCTTCCTGGATCCTATTAATCCTTCAGCAGCAACTGATACAGTGAAACATGGTGTCCTTCCGGACTACCTACAAGGGTTGGGAACTGGAGGTTCCATTGCTATGCTCCTATCTGAATTGCAGTTTTAGTCAGCGATCATGGAGAAAGTTCGTGGAATCCCAATATGATATCTGAGGTTTGTGTGCTCTCCTCTATATTGCAAAATTTCTACATAAAACTACTGGAAAATATCAATTCAGAATCAATTTTCATCCGTACAGTCGAACCTCTGGTCACGAACACTTCTCACCATGAGCAGATCAGTTTCTGACCAAAAAATTTACATTTTTTTCATGGCAGATTTCCCCTTCTGTGCCATTTTTTTGTAAGTGCCAAATTTCCAAAATTAGGTTCGGGTCACGACCAAATCAGGTTGCGACCAAAGTTATGGAACAAATTATGGTCGTGACCAGAGGTTCTACTGTACTTTGATTACTTTTAATTTTACATCATCACCCCAGGATGAACTAGAGATACCATTAAAGTCCTGGTGTCTAAGGACTGTAAGAATCTGGATGGAGACAGAAACAAGCTGACAGACAGAAACAAGTAGAGATTAAATCCTACAAGACAGTTATTAGTCATGAATAAACATCTGGCAAATCTGATAACATTAGTCCTGGTATTAATTCAGGTTTTTATACTCTTTCCTCAAGGGATGTTTATGAACTGTGGTCATCCCTGCTTCAAGCAGCAGGTAGATGCTATGACAAAGACTTTAGTTAATGTTTACAACTCTATATGATTAGAATGGACTGACATAAACTCACACCTGATTACTACAACTGGATTCTACTGCATACTCTGTGTAGGGCAACCTCTGAGACAATAAGTGCAATTGGTATATAGCAGTCAAAAACAACACCAGTTTAAATACTGCTCCACTGCTTATCAGTGGATTCTTGACTCAAGTCAGATGACTCCTTATTAGTGGTAAAGTCATTTTAAATATAGCATAAATGACAAATCAAATAATGGATTGTTAAAATTGAATGTTCTTGCTCATCCTGGGCAGAGGGTGAGTCACTTGACAGTTTATTTTGTAAACAATTCAGCTTAGCTAGAAACCTGAGAAAAGAAACTTCAAATCATTCAAAGAGATTCCACCTTAATGAATTCAGTTTAAATGGGGGTGAGAAATTCCTCTACTTCCAAAATTCTAACATTCACATTAATGATATCTTTAATTAATGAAGTCTATAGTTTTTGCTTCTTTGATATTGCCCAATTCAGTAGGGAATAATTATCCAGAGAAGGCTGTTGGGAATATCATACCCTCATATGGAACAAATATGTAGGGGATTGATTGGATAGCAAACTTTCTCCATGGTAGCCCTCACTTTTTGGAATACCACTCCCCTCCTGAGACATCATGGCTCCCTGCCTTGTAGCCTTCCATAAACAACTAAAAAGTGTGTTTTTCAAAAAAACTTTAGCTCCAGTTGATTGGGAGATGGTGCATATTATAGGACTGAATTTGAAGGTTTGTATTACTGTATCCTTTCTAAAAAAAGCTGCAGTTTTTCTTTGTTAAAAAACAAAACCAATAGTTTACATTTTGTATTTAGTCAGAAGAATCAAAGAGTCCAGGTTCAATAGAAGCATTCAACAAACATTCATGACACGATATGCATGTCTACCATATCCATTTTCAGTCTTAAACTTGATAGGTTATTCACTACTTTTAAATATCACTTATTTGCAGTGTCTCTTTATGCACAAATAAATATAGTTTTTTTTCACCACATCAGTTCCCCTGAACTGAAGCTGTTTGTAAGCAATAAATTATTAAAGCATAAAACATGAAGTCTTCATAACAGATGTCCTTTTTGTCCAATTGTTGCTACGCTGTTCAAGAAGAGCATTATTTATTCAATGGTTATCAGCATTTAACTAATTTTTTGCTTTCTGTAAGGGGTGAGACTTCTTCGCCACACATGAATTGTTCCTGAAATAAGAAAACAAGAATCATTACATTAACATATGCATCGTAAATGCACACATATACTATATATGTATGAATACAAGGCTGGTACTAATTAAATATAAGCATCTGAATAATGAATCATTTATTTTAATGGCAAAATGTAACTTTCTGATAAAAATGATGGTTCTACAAACAAGATAACTGAAAAAGAGACCACTTAATGCCACGGGGGAAAAAATAGTTCAGTGTTATAAAGGCATAAGAAGCAAACTGTCCAATATTGCTTCTACTAATATTATTTGGTGTATAATCATTATCTTGTATTCCAACCTCTATTTCATAACTATCAAGTGGTGACAGGTGAAATCATCAATCATGTTTGAAGCAGATGAGATAAAATGAGTAGTGGTACTAATTATTCACTGAATGTCTTGACTGGAATCTATATGTAACAAATGCCTAAAAGCATAGTAATAATTCATTATCCTACATTCTAATTCTAATTATATTTAAGATTTACTATACATTCAAAATGAGACACAGAGAAGAATTTATTAAGACAGATACTCCAAAGATTAGTTGCTTACCATATTGGTTGTTAGGTGGTAAATTCTAACTCTGCCTATTTAGGCAGATAACTCAAAAATAATTGCTTATTAAACTTGGTGTGCAAATCTAAAATAAATAAAACTCACCAAAAATAGGTAATTCAGAAAATAAAATGAAATACATATTAAAATTATTTACCTTTTAATTACATTTTTTACTGAAGTCAATAGGATTTAAGTGCAATTAATGGACTTTTATTATAGAACATCTCTAAGAAATGCACTATGAAACCAAAATGTACTAACTTCACACCTGCTAGAGCATTAAGCTATTATTAAATACTACCAGAGCACTGCAGGAAATATAATTAAATTTGGAATTAGCTTATAATGCATACAAGTATCCAAGGGGACAGAGATCTAGCCCAGAGACTCTGAACAAGTAAGGTCACCTAACAACCAATATCCCTACTGAATATTAGAAACCTCCCACAACTTGGATATTACAATAGACCAGTGGTTCCCAAAGTGGGTGGTACCACCCCCTGGGGGGCAGTGGGGTGCCTTAGGGGGTCACTAAGAGGCAAGAGGGCTGGCAGGGGGCGCTAAGAGCTGGCAGGGGGACGTTGTAGGTGGGCCCCTTGCAGGGCACATTCAGGGGCGGGATTCTACCAGTTTATTACTGTTCCTGGTAGTTTGGAGAACCGATAAAATGGGCCCCTGGCTGGCCCTGCTCTTCTCCGTCAGCTCCTCCGTTCCCTACCCAGTCAGTCCTTATTGTGCATGTGCGACATTGTACATATGCACAACAATTGCTGATCGCCATAGTGGCACACTGGAGAAGTGGAGCAAGCAAAGCCGGAGGTTGGTAATTTTTGCTCCAAAAAGCATCCAGACGCTGTGTGTGTTTTTTGGTGCGGCTGAAGTCCAGCCAAACCGAAAAATACACATGGCATCTGGAGATTTTTTGGAGCAAAAATTACTGATCTCAGGCTTTGCTCTGCTTCTCCAATGCACCACTGCCACCATGTTCTAAGCATCGGCCATGCAGGCTCACCCCATTTACTGCTGCAGCACTCCGCTCAGACTTGCTTGGGCAAGTCCCTCCGGTGCAGTGGGCTCACTGGGGTGGACCTGCATGGCTGGCACCTAGAATGCGGCCACAGCGGCGCATTGGAGAAGCAGAGCAAAGCCTGAGGTCGGTAATTTTCGCTCCAAAAATCCTCCAGACCCTGCATGGTTTTTTTGGTGCAGCTGCAATCCAACTGCACCGAAAAAAACACATGACAGCTGCAGGCATTCGTGACAAGGGCGACATGGACTGGTGGGGAGCCCAGTGACAACAATGGCTCAGACCTGGCTTGCCTTCCCTGGCAGCCAGTCGCAGGAGGAGGGTAAATTCACGGCTATGGGACGACGAAAGAGGCAGTCGTGGGGGAGGAAATGGGAGATTAAGGGCCAGGGCCTCTGAAAGGGGAAACAGGGTGATGCAGGATTAGCCCAGGTCTTTGACAGATTAGGCCATGTCTGCCCTGGGCAGAAAATGGGTAGATAGGTTAGGGAAGGGATAGAGGGAGAGGGAAAGAGAAAGAGGGAAAGAGAGAGAGGAATGTGAGAAAGAGAGAGAAAGAGAGAGCAGAGAAAGAGATATAGAGAGGGAAAGAAAAAGAAAGAGATGGAACAAGAGAAAGAGAGAGGGGGAAGAGAGAAAGAGAGAGAAAGGGAAAGAGAGAGTGAGAAAAGAGAGGGAAAGAGAAAGAGAGAAGAAACAGACAAGAAAGTAAAGAAAGAAAAAGGGAGAGAGAAAGAAGAAACGGGATAGACAAAGAAAGAGGAGGGATAGAAGAAAGGGACAGAAAGAAAGAGAGGGAAAGAGGGAGACAGAAAGAAAGAGGGAGGGAGGAGAAAGTGAATGGGATATGGAGGGAGGGGGAGAGAGAGAGAGAAAGAGATAGAGAGAAAAGGAAGAGGCTAGAAAGAAAAGAAAGAGAAAAGGGAAATAAGAAGGAAGAAAAAGGATAGACAAAGAAAGAGGTGGATGGAAGGGACAGAAAGAAAGGAAAAAGAAAGAAAAAAGAAAGAAAGAAAGAAAGGGAGGGAGGAGAAAGTGAATAAAATATCTAGTCCACCTGCTCCAGCAGGGTTAGAAGGGTGTGCACGCGTATGTGTCTGTCAAAACTCCAAAAACAGGTCAAGTAGCTCTGGGGAGGTCAGTCATAAATTAGAACACTTACTAAGCAACCGGCCATTAAGCGAGGACCACTTACATTTGGTTTGCCAGTCACATGGCCACGCCCACCCAGTCCCATGACCACCAAACCACGCCCATCCGGTCATGTGACCACCAAGCCATGCTCAGCCAGCAATCCATGCCCATCCAATCACATGACTACCAAGCAACGCCCACAAATTAGGCCATGCCCACAGAACCGGTTGTTGAGAAATTTTAAATAGTTAGTGAAAGGTGATTAAGGAGAACTCACATATTGGGGGACACTATAATCTATTATATTCTAACCTCACAGCATTTATTTATTGAAGTGCTCATTTTTAAAGTTGATCTCTGACCAGTGATCTCTGCTCTTTGTTATTCCATTTTGACTATAACTATCATTTATTCAAATTAGTTAATATTAGATGTTCAAGAAACAGTCTGTGGATTTCAAATAATTCACAAAACTAAATGAACTGCAAAACAGGCACAATACATATAATTTTTGCTAATCAAGACTGAGTTTTGCAACATGTTGATCAACCACATAGACAACAGATCAGTAAAAAGGGTATTTGGACAGTTATTATATATTTTTTAAACATTGTGGCTATATAATACATAAATAAATTTATATTCCAGCTAACTCCCAATGACTCTGGATTACCTTTGCTGGTTACTGACTTTGAATAAATAAAATGTCACCACCTGTGAAAACAGCCTAAAACAACTACAACTTCCACCCCTGCTCATTCCTCACCTTGTCGTAGATCACTTTGACTATAAGTGAACAACTTGGACAGGTAGCCACATCTTCCCCATTTTCCAGATCTTCCTGCAATAATACAAAAGAATTTGACCCCTTAATAAGCTAATGTTAAAAAGGGCAAAATCCAAGTCCTGTTTGCTAGATACTTCTGAAACAACACAACACTTCTCTCAACTGTATGGGGTTTCAATTCACTGAATTCTTCCTGTTAAAAGTTTGAATAGATAAAATATCAGGGTACATCCAAAGCCAAGTGTCCATATTCTAATTTTTCTGCCCAAATGCAATGTTAATGCTAAATATTGCTAAGTATTTTGATAAAGATGCACCCAAGAAAGAGTGAAAAAGAAATGTTAATTTATTATATATAATAATCTCAATTTGAATTTTGTTTTGGATTTCTCAAGAAAAAAGAACTCCAAAATAAGATAACTCCAAAACAAAATTCCACTAAAATTTCTCCTAACATGAACTCAGCTCAATAATTCACTTATTGACAAATATTGCACTGCTCTGAAGATCTGGACATCCCTTGGACGGACATCTTCAGAGTATTTTGTTTGAGTGATTTATCAATATTACCTTTTCTAAAAATGTTTCTTTCTAGTCATACTTACCATGATCATGTCGAATAAAAGCTATCATAACACATTTATATAGGACTGACTTAAATTTTTATTTTTAAAAATCAATTAAATGTTTAATTCTTCCAATGTGTGATCTCAGCAGTTTAGCTATTTAGACACTTTTCTAATTTTAGCTTAGGGCATATGTTTATCAGAAGGGAACTAATAATAGATCTCAATTTGCTATGATCAGAAATGAATTTTTATCTGTTCAACCATATCCGTACAAATTATTTCCCAAAATCATCCTGTTGAAATGCACAGCTTGGGTAAATGTGGACATTTCCTTGGATGGACTCAACCATGTTGTGATATTCTGAAGAAATCTTTCTACTCAGAGAAGAGCATTAAATACCCACAATAGTTCCCTCAAGGCTAAAGAAAGTCTATTCTTGCCTCAGGAAGATAAAGTCTACATTATATAATTTTTGTTTTAATTTATTTAAGTTTGTGCTAAGATTAAACTACAGGTTCTGACTTTTAAACTCAAGTTAGGATGGCACTGCATTAAAATGGTTCTATCCATCTAAAGCTTCTCAGGCTTATCAATCTTTTTTCCTTAAGATTATACTTGTCTGCCTTGCCCTAATATCAGAGCACCAAGTTACCATTGGCTATGTTTGAACATCTCTCTCAGTTGCACTAAATTATTAATTATAATATTTTATAACCACTCTGAACACAACAGACGTATCAGTCCCTCCCCAACTTGGTACTTTCTATATGTATTGGCTACAACCTCCCCAATCCTAAGGCGAAGTGCTTGGAGCCCAAACATGTCTGGAAAGCGCTAAAGCAGTTTTTATCAAACTTGCCGTCCTGGCTATTTGGGGAGTTGAAATCCACCCATCTTAAGTTGCCAATTTTAAAATCACTGTTTCCATCTAGCTTGAGGAAGACGGAAAGGCAGTAGGCTTGATGGCCGCCTGTATTCGCAGTTCTACTTTCCCATATGACGAACAGTCAAGGCTAATCTGTATTTTGAGAGTTTGCTCCGAGATGAGAGACGCTCATATAAAAATGTATGTCAGAGCAATGTATCTTCTATATAGAAATGACTGGCTCACTCATCCTCTTACCCGCGTAATAAGAAAGCGGTCTCCACAGGGGCACGGATAGCTGTAGGTCTCCGTATCCTCATCGTACTCGAAGTCCTCTATCTCCACTTCGTCGTGGAAAACGGACATGTCGCAGGGCGATTCTCTGCCTCCCTCCGTCAAACGTAGCCAGCGCCGCGTGTCCCGGAAAACCGGCAACGGCACTAAAATAAAGCAGTCTAAACTTTCACCACCACATTTGTTCCGGATTGAAACCACGAATGATTTCTAGCCAATAAGCATTCAAGATAATGAGACTTGACAACATCTCTCCTCGCATGACATCCAATAAGAACGAGCGAGGTAGAACTCGTGCTAAAGACAAATACTATAGAGCTTTGAAACGATGCAAAGAAAAAGACCTTGCATCCGTTGCTTATGGGTTCTAAGGGTGGTGTCGTCCCATCAAAAAAAAAAAAAAAAAGACCAATGAGACCCTTGGTTGAAGAGGGCGGATCACTTTTTTGCTGGGGAGGGGGAGAGGGGCGGGGCGGCGGCGAGCAGCAAATCAGAATTCTTGCTTACATAATAACAAAGGATTCCTATAATAATTCCACCCCTAAATTATAGAACTGGAAGCTATAGAGAAGTTTTCCTCATCGTCTGCAACTTTACGATGTGTGGACCTCAATTTTCAGAATTTCTTAGCCAACAATTCTGGGAGTTGAAGTACATACAACTTAAAGTTGCCGAGGTTAAGAATCACTGCTGTAGAGTGATAGGCGTTTCGTCCCTTTACTTGAAATTAAAAGCTATTGTTTTTCACCTCCATGTCAGACGGACTTCCTCCCGCCCCACGATCATTTCTATTGAGCTCACAGTAATATCGCTCTGACCTTGTCTCCTCTGTAGAAATTGCCGTGCTGGCTATTTATTCGCTTGTCTTAAGAGTTAGGCATAAAAAGCACGAATTGAGTTTCATTAAGGAAAAAAAAGGAGGGGCGGATCATAGATCGACAAAAGCACGAATCATTCAAGCCGGAAGTGCCCAAATCATAGCTGGAACGGTGCCACCTCTTTTAGGGACCGTTTCCGCTCAATTCCGGATGCCGGTTATTTCCTTATACCACTTTGAGGAAGACGATCGGGTGTTATTGCTGGCTTCTATGTGAAGTAGTTAGGCTGGACACTTAGCTGGAAGAAGCGACGTTCAAAGGAAGTGCTGGAGAAATAAATACCATCTGTCAAAGCCCCCGGTGCTGAAGAGAAAAAGGAGATCTGTCTAAAATAATGCTTAATCCATTAAGGGTTTACGGTCAAAAACTGAAAAGCTGGATCCCATTAAGTAAAATCTGCTTGTGAAATGAATACCCTGTTGGGCACGTTTCGCTCTGTGAGGTGAGTCGAACGGATGGATAGGCCAGAGGCATCCCGTATCTGTTCCTGCTCTTCGGGCCTGCTGACAGTTTGAGATGACCTTTCTGTGTGTATTAGACGGGAGATTCAATCATTCTTAAAATAGAATTGCCAATGCTAGAGGAAGTCTTTTAAAACTAGCAATAAGGAAATTGTGTATAAACCAAATGTAACTGGAAAAAAATGTTACCATTATGTTAGATTTGTAGCACCATTACTATTTGCTCCTGTTTATCTAATGTAGGATGAAGAAATTACCACTGATACTCAGAAATGATTACACTAATTCCCACTTGTTAGTGAATATATTCAGAAGATGATTACGCAGCCTGGTGTCTTCAAATAGTTCAGAATTCAATTTTTGTCAGTCATAATTAACAAGAATGGTGGAGACTTAAAGCAATGACTATACAGCATCCTAAATCATATTTTGCCTAATTATGGTTAACAAAACCCCCATAGACTGGGCTTCCAGCAATATCATAAATCATTAACCATCATTTACCAATCACAAAGGCTGAGCCTGCAGAACATACTAAGTCGCAAGCAAGCAAATTCCATTTTTGCTTAGTACAATGTGTAATCTAAGAATTGTTACACCAAAACAGGATTTTTGAAGTTAGTGGTAGTTGTTAGAGAGGAAAGCATAAAGTTATTCTATGTATAACAAAATATCACTTTATTAGCCCTTTGTAATAGGAGCAGTTGCAGCAGCACATAATTAGTTTATAAAAACTAAGTTCCTGATTATTACATGAGAGATCATCAGGAAATGCCAAAGCTGTTGAATAAATTGGGAGTTCAAGAAAACAACTGGGAAGAAGGGAATATTCTATAACTTAATTTATAATGAGAATTCAGACAAATGTATCATTTTAAGGTCACACAGAAGCCCAAATACTGTTGTTCCAATATTATTTGATGTCATAAGAATAAACATTGGGAAAGTTTTAATTGCTCTTTCTAAAAGTGGATGTTTGAAATGTTTTAATACAAGAGATTTTATGTGCCAGCAGATGTCACTTGTTCATTACAAATAGTTAATGTTACAGAATGTGCAGGAAAACGAAACTAATTTTTATTTGTATAGTACATTACAGTTCTTATGTAGTGCTATATTAAGCAGAGTGTTAAAATGATTGTTATAACAATGTAATAAATTGAAATGTTAGCAAAATATTAAGAGCTTTGGGGAACTTTAAAAAAGTCAGTTTACTGTAGTTGTTAAGGCACTAGGCTAGAAAGCAGAAGACCTTGAGTTTAAATCCAGTCTTAGCCATGAAAGCCACCTGGGTGACCTTGGGCCAGCCACACATACTGAACCCAACCCACCTCACAGATTTGTTGTTGTGGGGAAAATAGGAGTAGGAAAGTTTGTTGAATATGGTATGGCTTTAAATTATTTGTAAAAAATAATAAAAATGAGATATAAATAAATAAAAATAAATAAGCTTACAATTAAATCTTCAGCTATCTTAATCCACTTTACCACAGATATGGAAGGAAATCTCAGAACAAAAATTTGATACATATTCAGTTTCAGAAAAGAATCTGAGAGTAATGATGGGATCAAGCAGAATTGCTTCAAAAGTTGGAAGCAGAGAAACTAAATTATTTTTCATAGACAATAGGGAAAAAAATGATTCCGTAAGAAAGTGTTGTTACTCATACTTTCTTTCACATAAGAATTGTCAGGAATGACTTATAGGAATTATGGATGAAATCCATATTTTGTGGCAATTACTTTAAATATCTTAAAGACTCCTCCAAGTTATCATGTAACTTGCCTTACACCGTTCATTTTAAGTTTATGAGATTTAGAAATAAAATAGATAATATCAAATGTACCAAAACAAGGTTTTGACATTAACAGCATGGGATTTTTCAGTAAATACATATGGAATTGCATTAATGTAGGTTCTTAACAAAAGCTCAATTGAAATTTAAATCTTTAGTTTCATGAGCTAGGTTGTTTTAGTACAATTGGTAAGGGTTCATTGGGATATGATTGTGTTCAGGACTAACAAATACTATTACTAACTGACCTACATCCTCCCTGTTCTTGAGTTTTTTTGGGGTCCAATCTTTGATATTGGCTTTCCCCCCAAACAAATGCTTAGTAGTCAACAAATTGGAGGATGCCATGTATGACATGAACATTGTTTCCTGCTTGGGTATCTTTGAAACAGCCACAGATTAAGAGGGACATGCTCTTTATGATGTGAATAGTGGTTCAGATAGATTTCTGTGATGTCAGCAGCAGTCCAGAAGTTCATTTATTTTCTGTGAAGCTTAGTGCCAAAGAAATACTTCTTGTAATACTTCGTGTGCTTGTCTACAACTGGGCTGTTTGACATTGTTTATTGAAAAACAGATGCAAGTATTATTTTAAATTGCCTTTACAGGAATATTTAACATAAAAGAACATTATGATATATACAACAGCTTTTGGTTTGCCTATATTAATGAAAAGTGCCAGTAGAATTCTTCCCTGCTGTTCTTCATACTTGTGTCTAAGACTGACAGCTGTAAGATACTGCACAATAAATGGGTAAGCTATTGTATATTAAGTATTACTGTGAAAATGAAAACATTAACATAACACTGTATTACTTTCCTTTAAAAATTGAATAAAGATTAGTTGTAAAGAAAGAACTGTCATCTTCTAGAACGAATGTCAAACTGGCGACCCCTGGACTGGATGCGTCACATATGCAGGCCATGCCCACCCCAGCTCCACAAATGGGAAACATCACGAAACATCAAATGACAGCAGTGTGATGCGGCGAGTTTGAAACCTGTGTTCTAGAATATAGTAATTAAATTTGGATCAAGAGGCTGATTTTAGAACTATAATTTTAAATTAATTGATTTTTTCAAATTTATTAAAACAAATTATAAAACAAATAATAGGACAGTGTATTATAAAAACACTGCGATGGAACTATATTCCCATCTTCCTCCATATATTGCAAGGAGACCAAGTTCTTAAATAGGTAGTAAAGGCAATAAACTGGTTTAACTGTTTTGCAAAACAAAAGTGACTTGAACTGATTCTGGGGGGAAAATTGCTTGGTGCCATTCAGACTTTTATAGGAAAGATGTTGCAAAATTAATTGGTCATATCCTGATGTACCTTCTTGTTTGAAGAGAAGATAGGGATGGGGGGAACTGTTTTGTATATTTTGGATCTGAGCATTCAAAGTGAGTTATGCAATTAAATGGTTAGAATTCTGAATTAACTCAAGTTTATGCGTCATCTTCACAGGCATCTCATTTAAGTTGTAATCTAGTAGTAGTATCTAAGCTTTCCTCTATTCAGTAATGGCTATCATGTATCAGCCAAAACTGGTAGAACTATTATATTTTAAAATGCACATGATAAATTTTTAGAAATCAAAAGATATTCCTGAGGATAATCATGTTTATTTAGAAAGTCTGCTTATGAAGATTGTGTGGATTAGGTACATCTTCTAAAAGTAAGTGATTTTTCTTCCATCAGAACATTTATTGGTCTTGTTCAGAATCATACAAATCTCAGTGATTAACCATGTATATTTAAATAATCAAGTAAATTGTGGGTTTTCTTTAATCCATGTAACTAGACAGCATTATAGTATTTGCTCACCACTTGTTATTTCTTTAGTCCTGTCATAAGCTTATCTTGTTTGGAGTGAAGGAGTTTTATTGAACAGTTTAGAACAGTTTTTTCAGCATTTAAAGCATGATTAAATGGGAGATGAAGGTTCTGAAATTATTACGAGCAGACATAATAAATTAATTTTTGAGGTTAAAACATGGCATCATATAATAAATATGATTACTAACAGATTTGCTGCTTAACAAAAGAAGTTTACAAGTAGTCCTTTACTTACAACCATTTGAATAATGATGGTTCAGTTAACAATAGTCTCAGAAAAAGTAACATGACTTCGACTTACACTTAATAACCTTTGCATCATCTCTGTGGACACTTGGTCGCAATTGGGATGCTTGATGATCAGCTCCCATTTATGACTGGTTACAGCATGTTTGCAGTTTGCAACTTTATTTGGCCGATTTGTTTAATGATCTCATAATTTATTTAAGACCACTGTAAAAATTGTGAAATAGAATACAATTAAACTTACAACTGTAATAATTAACAACAAAAATTCTAGTCCCAATTGTAGTCTTAACTTGACCAAACAATTATTTGTATATGCAATGAAATAAGATGGTGAGATATTTGAATAGAGATTAGACTGATATAGGTATGTATGATGTTTGAGTTTTCTTGATTCTTTCTACTTTGTTGTTATGATCCATCTTGTAATTGGTACAACAGTACAAAGCAAAGACTACTTAAAAAAACAAAAAAAATCTAACTAATATTAGGCTTTTTGATAATAAAATTATTAAAAAGTACCTAAGCTTGATTCAAGAATACATATTTTCTCTTTTAACAACTCATTTTGCTTCATGAATATAAACTGGGTCAATAGGAGTTTTATTAAAGATTTAGAAAATGTAATGGATGGTCTTCAAACCTTAATAATGCAACAAACCTTTCTTGTTCAGAAGCAGTATACTTCTAAGTATTACATACTGGGCATTAATAGTATTGTCATGACTATATGCTTTTTTAAAATTCTCCAAATAATGTGACCAGATTGCCATTGAAAACAGTAACAGGAGGCAATTACATACATTTTTGTCAGTTCAAAGGTGGGACATCATTCTTATATGATGGTAGAGATCAGTGAATCTGAAGTTACTACTTAAAAGGGTGTTCAGTGACCAGTTCAAGCTGTAAAGTTATGTTGAGTCATGATACATCTCAGTTTGCCTTATTTATAGCAAAATGAAATCTAGAAGAAAATCAGATCATCTGGAGAGAACAGCAAAAGACTTTCGACATGAGGTTGGTATTGCATATGATCATGAAATGTGCTATATATGGTGAGAGTATTGGATAAATTTGATAATAATTTGACTCTTCTTTACAACCATTTATTTCCATCTATAATCCTTTGCAATTTACTCCACATCTTAGTTACCTCTTAATCCATATCTTAGTTACCTCTCTTTTGGATTACTGCAATGTGCTGTACATGGAGCTGCTCTTAAAGACCACCTGGAAGCTGCAAATGATGTAGAATGCAGTAACATGCACAGTTTTGAGGGGTTCCACAATTTACCCAAGTAATATATCTGGTTGCACTGGTTTCCAGTTGCTTTCTAGATGTAATACAGCTGCTAATCACCTTTAAAGCCCACATAGCACAAGCCCATGTTATTGTGATCACATTTGTCTGTGGATATTTGCATGTCCTTTTAGATTAGACAAGGTGGGTGCAATCCAGGTCCCTTCCATTAAATGTTGCTATCTGATAGGATCTTAGATTGTGTCCCCTTCATAGTCATCCCAGTCATCAGAGATGTCCCTACCCTTTCAGTCTTTTGAAGGTCTGTGAAGACCTGGCTATTCTTCCAAGCATTGGAATAGGGTGAAAGTGAGGTTTAAGGTATTTGGTCTGGCCCTTGAGGGAAGAATAGACCATGTTTTATAGGTTGTTGTGAGCCGGCTTACAAAATAATTGCAATTGAAATAAAAAAATGTAGCTAAAATAAAGAAGGAACTGAACATTGTTATTTCCAGATGATACAGGATATAACTGTACTGATTGTTTAACTTTTTTATTTATTTATCAAATTTATTAGGCTAACTACCAATAATCTGAATGGGAAACAAAGTATACAGTAAAGCATGGACAATGGTCATTCAAGGACATTCTCTCTTTACATCCATGCTAGGGCCCCAGATCTAATAACTTGATTTTTTCTGAAGTACTGGCAAGGTTAGGGCCATCTATATCTTTGGTGAGTGCCATTATTCTGATACTCAGTTTGTTCTACTTGGCTTCTCCTGTCAATGGGAGTAAAGAAGTACATGGATAGCTGTGATTTATTAAGGGTTATATCTAGAGTGGCAACTCTTGACTATTTCTCTTAAAGCATATGACACTCCTGACATTGTCAGGTTAGTATTTAGAGATAGTTCTTGCTTTGTACATAACAATAAGCAAAGCACTTTTCTCATTTGTTTAGCTGCTACCAAGAACAAAATAAATTAATGGAAATAACTGAGCTGCATTGGGCTGTACATTTCCAATTCTTGGAAACTGTGGGAACAAAAATATTTTTTGACATTGAGTCATTTTGGCAAAATAGGCAGCCATATAAATCAAACAAACTTTATGGGGATTATTTACAAAACCAAAAGGGCATCATTTTTATAACATCATTGTGTGCAAGATCCAGTTCAGAAGTCAGTTATAAGCTAATGTGACATATTAAAGTTAGACTTACTCTGGGGTTTCTGTGTTAAGGAGAACAATTATAGGACATCATGTGAGCAGATCTAATTAGGAAATATAACTGTTTCTTAAAAGAAATAAGTCTATTAAAATAAGAAAAAGTATGGTACCATTTATTTGGCAAGTATCCTGCTGTTTTACAAGACAGTAGAAATGCTCAACTATTTTTATTCAGAAATTCATTTCCTGCCATATGTTTTAAATTAAGTCATAGCTAGCCAAATTTCATTTGTTGGACTCCAGTTCTTCTAGCTAGAAAATGAAATACTCATAAATGTAGTTTGATGTAGTTTATCATTTTAACATTTTCTGTACACTTGAACTTGCGTAACTCATCTTAAGAACTTTAGGTTTAGAATTAATAATACAGTATGTTCTGTAGTTTAACAAATAATTCCAAATTTATTCTATGACTTGATTGCCATACTATGAAAGTCAGAGGAAACACAGCAGAAAACAAGAGAACAAAATTCCATCACTGGACTGATTAGAAGTTATATGAAAGCTATTGTTGGCTATGTTCCAAATGATTTGTGTTCAAGTCCCACCCAGCCATGAAACTGGTCTTGAGTCATGCAAACTATTTTGTAACACTGCTATGAGAAAAATTGAGAGGGGGAAGAAGATGGGTATATATAGTAGTATAGTAAGTATCTAATAAAAATAGAAAATTACTTTGCTTTACTATTTTGTCTGTGGTTAGAGTTATGCTTTATATTCAATCATGATTTTATTGTTTTCCTTCCTGAGAATGGAGGAGAGAAGCAGCTTTTTTGAGCAAGAGCTGCATTTTTAAGCTTTGTGTATTTAATCTGAGAGCTAAAAAGGCATGCCAGAAATGGGGCAAGAAGACTTTGGATCAGAATTTTCCACCTCTTTTTTTAGGATTAATAAATAAATAGATGTATTAGGCTGTCCATGTTGTATTTCTTTACAAAGACAAAAATCTGAACTTGCTTTATATGTATCACACATTTTAAAATTTTGCTATAAAGGACTGGCTAATGTAAGGATCTTGAAATTTATAGATGAATCTGAACTAAAAATGCTAGAGCCAAAGGTGAGAAGGGTGTGGTTTTAATCTTTTGTAAGTTGCCCATGGTCATATATGAGGGGGTGTTCATAAAAACTGAATGAATGAACAAATGAATGAGCCTAGTCTTTGCTTATTTTTGAATTCTTAATCTTGTTAAAGGTTCAGCTTCATTATTTGTAATGAGATTAGAACTTAAAATTTGTATAAATGTGAAATAGTGCAGCTAATAATAGTAGCAGTGTAGGAAACCAGTAGAACTCATAGTTACCCCATTTAATGATTGGAGTTTCATGCTTGGAAGGATCCAGAAACAATTATTTTTTGTGCTGAGTTTTGTGTTTATTTCTTGAAATGTTGGTAGTTATGATGATGGTTTTTTTCTTTTTAGATTATTTCTAAAGCAAAAGTGTGTGGCATCAGTAATGAATCTGAAACAGTTAAAAGACTTCGTTTGACAGTGACGGATAAGGAATTTACTTTTAAGGCAGGACAATGGTAAGATTCTTTGTTCTGTATGTATTAAATAGAAAGAAGCTAATGAGATTCTAAATTGATGGTACATTTATGCCCAAATTATCAATTTTATTAACAACAAATTATTGTTTATTACAGGCACGTGCAAATGTTTAATCATCTTTGAATGACGTAATTTTCCCTCATAAAACATATAGTATATATCCTCTATTGCAACAATTTCCTCACATATTGTTTAGCCTTGTATCTCTTTTGAAATGGTTATATATAAAAATTCCTTAAACTTTCTCTACTCAACAGAGAGAGTTCTGTTTTATTTGCGCTAACACAGAGTCAAAAGCTATATAGCTATTTGTAAGTGAGTATCATTGAAAAACAACAGCATGTGCATAACAGATCTCACTTGAAAATAAAAGGATTTCCAAAAGTAATAAAATGTGAGGTTATTTGCTGTTTGAGAAAGAAAAATTCACTCGTTCTACTTTTGTTTCTTTGTAACCTAATCATTGGATTAATTTCTGTAGTATTTTCAGTGTATTGGATGGATGGATGGATGGATGGGAGGGAGGGAGGGAATATGCTCTCCCATTTTTAGAAAAAGCTCTCTAAAATTAATTACGGTCCCTAGAATCTTACCTAGATAGGATATTGATTTGAAACAAGTAGAGAAGGTTTAACCATGGAACTTGTGATTTTGGCCACACATTGTTCCTCGGTTTATGCTACCTCTCAGGGATTCTGTAAGAATAAAATCATAATAAGATTCCATATATAATGCTGCCTTGTAGAATACCGTATAATGATTTAATCTTTGAAAAATAGAATAGTATATTTTCTTGTTCACATATTCAAGAAAATTACAATTTGTTATTTTAATCATATGAACCTTTTCAAAGATCTAAATGTTTTCTCTCAAAAATTCAGGTATAATTTTATATTAACTTTTTCAGTCTAATCACTGTTTTCTTGTTCTTTTTTGCTTTTCCTTTCTATTATCAATCCATCTGGCAAGTAGGTTTTATCAGATCAAACTTCATCCGTAGGATGTTAATAGCATGAGTTACTAGTAGTGTTAATTTTGCAGTCTTTTGCATTTAAAACAAGAAAACAAGATGTTGATTGCAATAATTCATGTTTGTAGAGCAATTTGCAGCACCCTTTGCACATGTGCACAGATGCATACTAAATTTGTGCTTGTTGGTTCTTAGGCAAACATTTACCCTTCAAAAATGTTTTGGTAATCATCATACTGAAAACTGGGTTGTTTAATTATAATTACTCTTTTCATTATCTTCCTTTTAAATTATTCTAATTCTGTTTGGCATGCTAACGTTCCACCAGCGCAGCTAGTAAGATTGCTTATGATCAAACGAGTAGTACTGAAAAACAAAACTGGGGGTGGGTGGGTGGGGAGGTTAATAGATTTACATTTGTGATGGATTGGCTAGAGGTCTCTTTTTTCAAACATGTACATTTTTTCCCTCAGTGAATATTTCTGTCACACAGAGGAGCTACATAGTTACAGTTATGCCTACTTTCTGAAATTTCTGGCTTCATAAATTGAAATTTTGTTGAAATTTCATCACAGTACCTATTATAGTGTTGAAAGTTCCAGTGTGTTTAGTAGTAATCTGTGATACTGTTAAGAATTATATTTCTGCCTGACCACTTGTTCTGAAACTGACTTATTTTCTTTGCATATATGTTTACTAAAAAGTACTGTTGTTTGTTTTATTTAAAATTAAATTTATATATTTATAGGAACATTTTTTAAAAATATTTATATATTTACAACTAAAATATAGTTTAAAAAGAAGCCAGAAAATGAAATAGACAAATGTAGGGCATGTATAATATGAAAAGTAAAATAAAGTCTGATCTATAGTCACTTGGAAACACTATCTTTCATTTATTTAAAAGTACAATTTATCAGTGCACTTTATATCCGCTAAATTCATATTAGATTTCATCCATACATATGCAAATAACATGGATTGGATTAAGTTATGTATATGATGAAATCATTGACTTGGACATCTAGAAACTAGACAGTTTCTGTTGAACTCCACAATGAGATAGGACACCATATATGAAAATAAAAGAGTTGTCTTTTATTTACATCCTACCTTTCACTTGGAAGCTCACATAATATAAGACTCCTTCCTATTTTTCATTACAACAATCCTGTGAGGTGGGTTGGATTGAGAGAATGACTGGCCAAAAGACACTAAGTTAATTGCTCTGGTGGAGAATGGAGTAGAACATGTGTCACTTTGCCTCTAGTCTAATATTTTAATGAGTATCTCTTCGCTATCAATATTTAGATATGAGGAGTCCAACACATAAAGATTGCTCCCAGAAATGCAGATTCCTTTTAATGGAGACAAAAATCCATGTCCAAAGGGAGAGGGGAAGTTGTATTCTCCCAACAAGTAATTTTTTTGGGAAACATTTAAACGAAAAAGATCTCTGGAGTGCTTAGGAAGTATTCCAGCATATATTATATATAGAATCTGTTTCTTCTCTAATCAGGTTTCTGTTCATCCTCTCTTGATAGACTGTTTTATATAGCACATTTGTTCTGCTTAATTATGAATAAATGCATATAAATAACATTTATATGCATTTAGTTTTATAAATACCTATAGCTTTCTGTACAGAATATATTAGATGTTATTGGTATCTGTAATTAGTGAAATGCTTTCTGCAGACAGTCTAATGTGGAGGAGAGCAAAATGTCAGTCTTGTTTACTTTGCTGTTTTTTTTTAGAACCCAAAAGCCATTTACTGTAGGCAAATGCAAAAGATGTGTAATTAAAAAGAAGTACCTGGGAACCAAAAACTTATTTCAGGTAGCAAATCAGGTCAAAGTTCTGGTTATTCCCCTCTCTGTTTGTTAAAATCAATAGGTGCTTACCTGTCTACTTCATTGAAGGAAAGATCTATCCAAAAAAATCCTCTTCTCCACCTCTTCTAAAAAAACCCAGATTCTAATAATTTTATCTCCAAGTTGTTTTATTTCACAAAGAACTACATTTTTATTACTATGCTGCACTGATCTTATCCCTATGGACATTTAGAACTCAGGATTTGTTGCACAGAATAACAATCTTATAAAATTCTGCCTTCCTGGAAAATCTTCAGGAACATTTGCTTTTTTTGTCATTTGATGTTAACTTTTTATGTTTTAACTTAAATGTAACTGTAAGCTGCCCAGAATTTCCCTATGGTAATATGGGAGGCCAATAATAAATTGTATAAATAAATAATAAAAAAATTTCCATAATGATATTTCAAATGGACTTTTGCTTTATAGTCTTGGGCTGCATTAATCATGTGCTGCATTTTTCAGATTGAAATTTCATTTTTTTTAATTTTAGTGGCTTAATGATTATACAGCATTATAATCTGTATTTATAAAGAATTAAACGTATCCTGTATAGTCTTCTACTGACTCTTCCAAATGCCAGTAATATTGTAGTGATTTGTTCACAAATAAATCTGTTTTAATTATAGTTTTGCATTAGGTTCCACAAAGTTTCAAGTAATAAAGGAAACAGTAGTAATATTCTAAGATAAATGGTATCAGGTCCAGATAAGTGGTGTCAGGGTTGCTGGATTTTAATTGTGTTACAGGTTTGTAAAACAGACTGAATAAGCATTTTGTCAAAAGAAGACAGATTAAACTTTGAGTTCATTTTGTACTAAATTTGAACTTTCATATATGTTTCATAATTTGGTTTTTACAACATTTAACAGGCAAAATAATTCCTCACTAGAGGGCACTATAATGCAGCTTGCTTGGATTAATTTATAAGTATTATAAATGTGTTTATAAAAATAAAATATAAATAAATAATGCACATAATTTAAATTACTTTTTCTTAAATATTATTTTTAAAAACTGGATTAAATTTGGCAGTATTGAAGAATTAATCTTTTGAAAATGTCAGGCAAACATATCTCTGATGAGATGGAAAGTATCCATTTGTAAAGTGATTCGGGTAGAAATAGATTGGATGATAACATAATATTCTTGAAATGAAACCTCATATATTAAGAATATGCTATTAATACAAGTTTTGTGGCATTGCTGACAAAATAACCTTTTAACCATGTATATTTGCCATTATGACTCTATCTACTTCAATTACAATTTTATGTTTAGAACAAAAACTTTTATTTTTTCCCATCACTTTGTTTTCCTTTTTTATATTATTTATAAGGCTGTTTACTTTTATGTTAAAAATTGTAAACTGCTTTGATTGCATTGACTAAAAACAGGGATACGTGTATAGTAAATGAGTAAGATTCAGACATCTAGGCTACTCTAAAGACCAATTGAAGATTTTGTTATGAGTTTTCTGTTATGGGAAATTTTAGATGAGTTAGTGAGTTACCATTCTTATTCCCCCAACAGTAATTTTAGTAGGAAGAAGATTAATAGTTGCCTCTCAGCATCCAAACCTGACTACAATTTTTGTCTTGTGATCGCACATAATTGAAATTACAGTGGCTCTGAAAGAATGCTTTATGCTCTATAGAAACTTCCAGCCATGGTTAAATGTCATGCTGACCCACCCCCCACTCCCAATAATCATTTGATTGTGATCTAGATACTTGGTAATCTGTTCACACTTAGGACTGGTTACCAAGCATTCCACAATCATATGATTTCTAACTTTGCAATCTTCTCTACTGATCTCCCCAGAATGTCAATGGAGAAAGTAGTAAGGAAGGTTACAAGCTGCCACAGCCTGCCAAGAAAACTCATTCTCATGTCCAAGGGCTGGCTGAAACAGTTGCCTGCTGAGAGGAGCTGAACTCCTCCAGTGCAGTGGGAAAAACAGAATTAAGGTCCTAATTATTTGAGCTTTGTTTCTGTACCAGGCTGAAGGAATTCTTTTCCATGCACAATGCTGATATACTCCATGGGGTGCTAAAACAGAACTCAGAGCCTTCATTTCTGGACCCTACTTACATGTTTCCTTGTGCATGTTGAGTGGAGCTTAACTCTTTGGCAGGGTAGAGAAACAGAGTTTAGATTCTGATGATTTGACCTGTTTTTGCTCCCTGCCAAAATAGAGCTGATGTCCTTTTGCAGGCAGCTCTTTTCAATCAGAATGGAGACACAGCCTGATAAGGTAAGGACTATGGGGTGCCTTAGACAGCTGAGGGGGGGAACTCCTTTTCTCTCTCAGCAGCACTTGGATTTCAGCAGGAAAGATTTTCAGCTTCTCTAAGTGGACTGCGATGGGCTGGACACAATTCACAACTAACAACAACAAAACAGATCTTCTCAGAATCTCCCTCACCCACATTCTTTACCTTGGACTCCATCCATTTAACAATCCATGCATTAGTTTAAAAACTGCAATCAGAAGTGCTTGGGTTGTGGCCTTTGACAAATCAGTTACATGGAAAGTCTTGTGACAACTCATTTAAGAAACCACTTCATTCAACAGCCAAGATTCCGGGCCCAGTTGTGGTTGTAAATTGAGAATTAATTGAATGAATACACAGGACTTAGGCAAGAACTTACGCTACTATGATTCATATTTGTAAATCTGAAAATAATATTAACATTTGTTCTCCATAGAGCTGCTACGAGCGTCCAGGATGGGAGGTGCTCCAGTCTCGGCTCTCACAGGCTGAGCTTGAAATTGAGGAACGCCTCTCTACATCACGTGGTCCTCTCGGCGTTCCCCAGTTTTTAGCTCAGCCTCGTGACAGTCAGGCTGTTTTTCTCTAGCTCTTGGCCGATCCAGGTTCTCTCGCAGATCTTCTATCAGGTTGGACCCTTAAATTCAATTTGCGCAGTGGATTTGGGGCTTGGGCTCCCTAGGGAGCTTCTTCCCGCCTAATCATACGGGGAGCAACTTAACCGCTGTTTTCTAGGGGCAGCATCCAGCGCTTCGAGTGCTGGCGCCCCCCCATCATCTGCCGCTCCTTCGCTCAACGCTGAGCGCCGCTTCGTTTCCTGCCTTCCTCTCGTTGTTTCCCCTCCACGAATGCCGTCAATAGCCTAGGGGAGATATTCTTCCCCTGCTCCTCCCGTTATTCGTGGCCTTCAGGCCTCTTCAAGGGAGAGTACCGCCGCTGAGAGTCCTTTTGCATAGCTCGCAGCCGCCATTTTGGGCGCCGCGTGGCGTCCGCCATTTTGGGTGTGCCCAGGTGTCGCCCGCCATTTTGGACGCGGACGCAGGGCCGACCGCCATTTTTTCTGGGCCTTGTCTGCTAGGCTGCGTGACTGAATTATCACTAGGCAGTTCCCTAGGACTGCCTATATTCTAGCTCGTGTCTTCAGACCTTATTCGAAGGTTCCGAGCATTACAGGGTCCGTTGGCTCCGCAGCCTCCTCAGCTGGCGAAGTAGCAGCATTCACTTCCCCCCCCCCGGTTTTCGTCTGGGGGGCAGCTGCGCAAGCGTTCTTTCGGCTGATTGGATACTTGGGCTAGTCCCAGCTTACTTTTTTAATAGTTTGCAAAAAAATTTGACCAAAAGGGGTGTGTGAAACAATCGTGGTGATACCCGGCCTTGGTGTAGGCCGCATCCAGACGAGCCAACCGTCTCATATTAACTCAAATAAATGTTTTTCTTTCCAGCTTTTCTAGATGGCAGATGACAGAGTTTCACGTGGCACTTCTCTGAAGGCCAAGTCAAAATCTCATTACCTGCGCAACCAGGCACAGGAGACTTCCAAAGCCTCCCAGAAGGATGCCCTCAGACGTCACAGGGCACTTGAGAGGGAAATAGATAGGAGGTCTAGAGAGTCAAGCTCCGTGCCTCTGGCTCCTCCCTCCGCCGCCCCCTCAACCTCCCCCCATCCTCCTCCCCCCCTTTCCTGCTCAATCCTCAGCCTCGCTGCCTAGGCAAGCTCCTGAAGCCACTTTCACTCCCACTGCTGCTGGCCTGCGCCCGGAAGAGCCACCCCAACCTCCTATGGCGGAACTTCCTGAGAACATGAAACTATGGATGGAGTTTGCCATCCGGCAGGGAATCGCGCAAGGGCTCCAGCAGACGGCCGGTCCGGCCCCACGGCCTGCGGCCCCCAAAGCTCACGCACCATCTGTCAGATCGCTCTCCAGATCAGATTCCTCGCATGGTCAGGTAGTATCTCAGAGGGAATTGCCTCTCTCTCTGGGGATAGAGGAGGTGGAGGCACAGGAGCTCGGGGGTCCCACCCAGTTTGGGGAAGAGGAAGATCTTGACTTGGGGTCCATCATTTGCAGCGAGCCCCTCTCGGGGGCGGACCCACTGGAAGGGGAGATGTCAGAGGATGAAGGCCTCACCCCGGACCAGCCCGCCTTTGTTGGGCTGTTTAAACCGCACCTTTTCAGGTCGATTCTTTTCAAGGCAAAAAATACCTCTGGCCTGACCCCTCACACACCATCTGAGCCTGTAGCCTCGGGGGTGCCTCTCGACTCCATCTTCTCTCAGCCCGTGGTGATGTCATTCCGGTCCCACCTATCTTCTCCGACCTGGTCTCCAGACAACTAGCCTCCACGGGGCCCCCTCCTCCCCCTTCCAGTCAGGACAAGCGCTTCTTTAACCTTGACCCGGAATTCTCCCTTCTGCTCGATCCCCCATCTGTTGATGATCCTATCGTAGGTCTAGCTTCCTCCTCAACCCCTAGCGATGCCTTAGAGGCACTCAAACCAGAGGACAAGCGAGCCGAGCTAGCCCTGCGCCGTGCTCACCAATCCGACGCTTGGGCTATTAGAGCGTCTACTGCTGCGTCCTCCTTCACCAGATCCTCAATTAAGTGGCTTCGGCAGCTTAAACAGCACGTCCCCTCAGCCAACCTCAGGGCGCAGCAGGACATCGCAAAGCTCACGGCCGCGGCCGAGTTCTCGGCCGACGCTACCTTTCAAGCCGTGAAATTTTCCACCAGAGCCATATCCTCTCAGGTCACTGCTCGCTGCTTGCTTTGGCTCCGCCACTGGCAAGCGGACGTCAAGAACAAAGTGAAACTGGCATCCGCTCCCATTTCGGGGGGGAAACTGTTTGGATTGGTTCTCGACCCCTTCCTGGCCGAGACCCGCAACAAACGTAAATACCTTCCTTCGCTTTTTTGGAGGTCTGACCCCAGAGCCCCCTCCTCCTCCTTTCGTCGAGGTTCCTTTCGACCCTCCTCCCAGGCCTCTTTCCCCCCTAGATACTTCCAATCCCCCTCCTACAGACCCCCTCCTCCGCACGACCGGTCGGACCCATCCGACAGGCCCAGAAGAGGTGGTCCCTACAAAAGGCCTTTCCGGGGATCCGGGAGCAGGCCCTTCCATCGCTCAAGATAATTCAATCCCCCCCATAGGCGGCCGCCTCAAGCATTTCGCTAGTCGATGGGAGGCCACCACTACCGATGCATGGGTCAGGGACACGGTTCGCCTTGGCCTTGCACTTGAATTCCAGTCCCCCCCTCCCGAATTTTTCATGTCCTCCCCCCTTTCCAGGAACCCTACCAAGAGGGCCCTTATGGACGCCGCCATTAACCATCTCCTTGACATAAAGGCTATCCAGCCCGTTCCCGCAGCTGAACGGGGACGAGGCTTCTATTCCCATTTGTTTGTAGTGCCCAAGCACTCGGGGGGTTGGAGGGCTATCCTAGATTTAAAAAGACTGAATCGCTACTTAGCCCCTCGTAAATTTAAAATGCATACCTTGCAGTCTATACTCCTGGGAACCCGGCGAGGGGACTGGCTCACCTCAATTGACCTCTCCGAGGCATACTTACACATTGCAATTCGTCCCTCCCACTACAAATTTCTGCGCTTTTCCTACAATAAACAGCATTTCCAGTATGTTGCTCTTCCCTTTGGTCTGTCCTCCGCCCCCAGGGTTTTCACCAAGGTTCTGGCGGCCCTCGCCGCCCACCTGAGATCCTTCCCTGTCCGTCTCCACTGTTACTTGGACGACATCCTCATCCTCTCCTCCTCAAAGGTTCAGGCCCAACGAGATACTAGGTTAACCCTTACCACCCTTCAGGACCATGGGTTCCTGATAAATTGGAGGAAAAGTCACCTTTCCCCCTCTACCCGGCTTACTCACTTGGGGGCGGTGATCGACACTACTCAGGAACTGGTTTTCCTGTCCCCGGACAGGTGGCTCAGTATCCAACAATCCATCAAGCACGTCAGGCGGGCAAGGAAAGTGTCTCTCTTAGATTTGTCAAAACTGTTGGGGAAGCTTGTTTCATGTATCTCTGTTATCCCTTGGGCCCGTTTTCATACCAGGTCCCTTCAATGGTTCCTGCTGCCGCATCAGCGTTCAGGAAGGAGCAACTCAAGACTCCTGGTCAGAGTTCCTCCAAGAGTTCTCACGTCCCTCCTTTGGTGGACCAGGCCGGCCATCAACAAGGGCCACTACTTCAAGGAACCTGACCAGTTAACTGTCACCACAGACGCGAGCCTCCTCAGATGGGGCGCTCACGTCCTCTCCATCTCGTCCCAGGGCAAATGGTCGGCAACAGAACAACTCTGCACCATAAATTGGCTGGAGCTCCACGCCGTCTACCTGGCGCTTCTCAGCTTCCTACCCCAGGTACGCGGGCGTCACGTCTTGGTCCTTACAGACAACATCACGGCGAAGGCCCATATCAACAGGCAGGGGGGCACCCAGTCAATAAGGCTCATGAGAGAGGCTGAACGTCTGTGCCGATGGGCGGAATCGAACCTATCTTCCATCAAAGCAGACCATATATCGGGGGCCTTAAACATCCAGGCAGATTGGCTCAGCAGAGCCACCCTAGACCAAACAGAATGGCACCTCCATCCATCCCTATTCAGGGAGGCAGTCTCAATCTTCGGTCTCCCCATGGTGGACCTTTTTGCATCCCCCCTCAACGCCCAACTACCAAGGTTCTTTTCCAGGTACCCCTCTCACGGGGCGGAGAACCACAATGCCCTCCGTTGCCCTTGGCCCCCAGGGCTCCTTTATGTCTTCCCCCCCCTGACCCTCATCCCCAGGGTGATACACAAGTTGATCCTGGAACAAGCAGAGATTCTTCTGGTAGCCCCTTATTGGCCCAGGCGCCCCTGGTTTGCGGACGTTCACAACCTCTCGGTGGCCCCTCCCTGGAGAATCCCACCCGACAAGATCTCCCTGTCCCAGGGCCCTCTTTCACACCCGAATCCCCAATGGCTCCAATTAGCCGTCTGGAGGTTGAGCGGGACCGCCTAAAGAGAAAGAATTTTTCCAGCCAGGTCATAGACACCATCCTGGCAGCCAGACGGCCCTCGACCACGCGAATCTACAATGCTACGTGGGTCGCCTTTCGTAACTGGGCTCATAAACTCCAGATCAATCCCCTCTCTCCCTCCATCGCTCAGGTTCTGGAATTTCTTCAGGAGGGTCTCAACAAGGGTCTGTCCACCAACACCCTAAGACGTCAGGTCGCGGCCCTGGCAACCGTTGTTTCCTCAGATAATGGGGGTCCCCTCTCCCACCACCCCCTCATCCGGGCCTTTCTCAGGGGAGCTTCCAATCTCCACCCTCCGACTATACATCGTTTTCCTACCTGGGACCTCAATAAGGTCCTGGTCTCTCTTACCAAGCCCCCCTTTGAACCCATCAGGGAGACTTCCCTACAGTTCCTCACCCTCAAAACTGTTTTTCTTGTGGCTATCACATCTGCTCGTCAGATTTCGGAGATGGTAGCCCTTTCCATCAGACAGGACCTATGTATCTTCCATTCAGATAGAGTCGTTCTCCGACCTGATCCTACCTTTCTCTCAAAAATCAACTCAGCATTTCACAGAGCTCAGGAGCTCATCCTCCCGAACTTCTGCCCCAGACCCTCTCGAGTGAGGGAGAGACAGTGGCACACCCTCGACGTAAGGCGCGCCTTAAGAATATACATCAAGCGCACCCAACCATTTCGCAAGTCAGAGGCCTTATTTGTGTCTTTTCAGCCCACGTCCCTCGGCCACAAAGTGACTCCCACAACCGTGGGCCGTTGGATTAGGGCCGCCATCGCTAAGGCCTACCAGGCACAGGCCCTACCTGTCCCTTCTGGCGTGACCGCTCACTCTACTAGAAGTGTGGCTACTTCTGCCGCATGGGCCACCCAAGCCTCAATAACCGATATCTGCAGGGCTGCCACCTGGGCATCCCCATCCCCTTTTATCAAACATTACAAGATCGATGTATTCGCCTCTGCTGAGGCTTCCTTTGGCAGGCGGGTCCTTCAGCGGGTCCTTGAGGTTCCAGGGGAGATTCCACACCAGACGGGAACCCGCCCGCAGGACTCGCCAAGCTTTGATATGTCCCATCCTGGACGCTCGTAGCAGCTCTATGGAGAAGAGGCGTTGGTTCTTACCTGATACGCTTCTTCTCGTAGAGCTGCGTAGAGCGTCCAGCCCCACCCATTAACCCGTCTGGTGGGGAACCTCGTTTCGGCCAACAAATAATTCTTAGTTAAGATGAGAATAGGGTCTTGCTTCTCGTCTTCGCAAAACTGGGGAACGCCGAGAGGACCACGTGATGGCGTTCCTCAATTTCAAGCTCAGCCTGTGAGAGCCGAGACTGGAGCACCTCCCATCCTGGACGCTCTACGCAGCTCTACGAGAAGAAGCGTATCAGGTAAGAACCAACGCCCCATCTGTTCTGTTGGTCTTTAATGGTATTTACCCATTGTTGCTTTACCAGCTAAATATTTTCTATGTGATTTTCCTTGAACTTTGCCTATACAAATAGTAATGTAGCACTCTACCATGTTTCTCATAAAATAAGGCTGGGTCTTATATTTTTTTGAGCCCCGAAAAAACTGCTAGGCCGTCTTTTTGGGGGTGACTTAATTCCCCCCCTTGCATCCTCATCTAGAGCGCCCCGCGGGCAGCCTTGCCACCAGCCACTCCTAACGGGTGATCATGGCGAAGCGCAAAGAGCTCCCTACTCCCACCAAAAACCTTTGCTGCAGACCCAAGACCTTTGGCACCCGCCGCTGTTGCTTTCCCTTCTGCCCATTCTGCTGCCATGTTTGGAGCTGTCGCTTCTGTATTTGGAGTGCCTCTGCCATTTGGAGCACCGCCGCCATGTTTGGAGCTGCCGCTTCTGTGTTTGGAGTGCCGCTGCCATTTGGAGCACCGCCGTCATGTTTGGAGTTGCCACTTCCGCGTTTAGAGCTGCCGCTGTGTTTGGAGTGGCGGCAGCGCTCCAAATGGCGGTGGTGCTCCAAACAGTGGCAGTGCTCCAAACGTGGAAGCGGCAGCTCCAAATGCGGTGGCAGCTCCAAATGCGGACATGGCAACTCCAAACAGCGGCAATGCTCCAAACAGTGGTGGGGTTCCAAATGCAGAAGCGGCAGCTCCAAATGGCAGCGGTGCTCCAAACAGCAGTGGTGCTCCAAATGTGGAAATGGCAGCTCCAAGCACGGCGGCGGCATGGGCAGAAGGGAAATCAACAGCGGCGGGCGCTGAAGGTCTTGGGTCTGCCGCAAAGGTGCTTGGCAGGAGTAGGGAGCTCTCCGCGCTCTGCCATGATCGCCCATTAGGAACAGCTGGTGGCGAGGAATTGCTGCCCGCGGGGCGTTCCTAACGGCAAGTCCCCCTGCCCTTCCCCCCATTTTGCATATTTTAAAATAGGCCTAAATTTGGGGGGAGGGGCTTAATTTCATTTTATGCCTTGAAAACATGCTGGGTCTTCCTATTGGGGGAGGTCGTATTGTTGGAGAAACACGATATGTAATTAACTTTACATAGCAAGGTTCTAATAAATATCTTTATGCTTAATGTATTATTAAACTGTACACATTTGAATAATCTTGCCAGAAGTTTTGAATAATAAAAAAAATCTTTTCCAGGACATTGCATAGAAGAAATTAAATGGAAATATATTTTCTTTCAGGGTAGACTTCTTTATACCTGGAGTTCCTGTAGTTGGTGGATTCTCAATATGTTCAAGTCCTGGTATGTTGGAAGAAGAGGGAATATTAGAACTTGCAGTAAAACATACAACACACCCACCCGCCCACTGGATTCATACTCAGGTATCTGTAACTAAAAGCTACTAATAATGTTGGTTTTAGTGTTCTTTAAATTAATATTTACATCTTTATTACTAGGAACTGTATTGTAGCTTTATATGTAATTCAGTATTATTATTACTTTGAATCCTCCTACCCTTTTATGTGTGCTATAAGACATGAATTTAATGATGGAGTATAGTATAATATGTATTAGATTATTTGTGCCAAATTTGTTAAATGCCATACCTATCATTACACTTAAATTTGAAATGATCTGCATACAAAAGACAAAAAACTGTTTTGTACAATGCTTTTCATAAAACTTTAAATCTGTATAAAGGGAACATTTTATCAACAGCTAGCACAATCTGTGTTTATCATTTTGTGTTGACCTGTTTTTCTCTCACACATACAAAATCTCTACCAGTACATGGTCCTCTTATATAAGTCTTCTCTTACTGAATTATGTAAGTGTAGTAGCAGGTGGGATATTTAAAAAAGCACAGTAAAATGGCAGAAATTAACCAATACAAAATTAGTCTCATTTCCATTCTAAAAATGAACAAATATGAGGTGGTACCAGAATAAGGAAGATCTGTGAACCTAGACTTAATTTTGGTGATGTCGCTAGAACACAAAGATGTCAGAAAGTGGGCTTATTGACCAATGCTTAAATAGAAAAGAATCTTGTTATATCTGAAATACTAATACAATTGTTATCACATAAACTTCTACAGTATATATAACATCCTCTTTATCAGATATATTTAAAGACTTGGCCTGTGACCCATGAAAGTTTATATGAAAAAAATAGGTTCACTTTTTAGGTGCTACAAGCTTACCTTTTTCCTCTAAAAAAACTAGTCCAGAATGCTCATGGATTGTCTACCAAACTATAGTTTATAAAGGATAATTCTGTAAAAGGTAAGTGAGTGAAGGGACCTTTATATATGCTGTATTATAAACAATATGCTTTTCTTCTGTTTTTGTTGACTAGTAGGACAGTATAAAATCAATGCAATCTTATCATTTGAACAATTCTTTTCCTGTCATCTGATCTCTTCCCTTTCCAGGTTGCTTCTAATCCATGCCCATAAAAAGTAGCCCTACTGTTCTTAAATAGGTTACTGTCATGCACCATTGAAATTTCAATAAAATAATTGACTTTGAAAGGTATTCTGAAAATGTATAGAACCAGTGTGGCTCAACCACATATTCTTAGACAAATCCTGGTGGAGATTTTCTATCATATCTCTGCTGTTCATTAGGGAACTCAAAAAATCTAATTTCATAATTATCTGCCTCAGAGACATTTCCTGGGACTTTTCTTCCTGCCTTAATATTTTAAATTAAACTCATAGTATCACAGTAATTAAAGCAGTTAAAAACATTAGCTAATGCTAGAACTGCTAGTTATTGTTAAGGTTTTTTTATGTCAAGTGTCTGGGTGCTCTCGTAGAGAAATTACAAACCTATTCCTTTTAACAGAAGTAGAGTAGATATTTAGAAATGAGGAGAGAAATATAAGCCATTTTCATAACCTATGAACCTATCTTTTTCTAAAATTATGTAAGTTAGTAAATAAGATATAAGATAAAAGGAAATTATGGATTTCTTATCAGTTACAGGTAGTCCACAACTTATAACCATAACTGAGCCCAAAATTGATGTTGTTAAGTGAGACATTTGTTAAATGAGTTTTGCTCCATTTTACGACCTTTCTTACCTCAGTTGTGAAACACTGGAGTTGATAAGTTAGTACCCAATTGTTAAATAAATCTGACTTCCCCATTGACTTTGCTTGTCAGAAGTTCGCAAAAGTTGATCATATGATCTTGGGACTCAGCAAAGATCATAAATATGAATCAGTTGCTAAGCATCTGAATTTTGATCACATGATCATGGGACTTGAAGTTCTTCGTAATTGAAGAACGATCATAAGTCACTTTTCTCAGTGCTGTTGTAACTTTGAGTGGTCACTAAATAGACTATTGTAAGTCAAGGACTACCTGTACTGAAGCAGTTTATTATGTTTTTATTGTTTTTTTGTTTTTTATTGTTTTTGATAATTTAATTTTAAAAAAGATATCTGAAATTGTAATGATAGTATAGTGCTACAATTGGTTTGGATTTGAAACTGTTAAGGAGTTAACATTAATTCTATAATATAGTGCAGCTTTTTTCTTAAGATGATCAGAAATACAGGGATAGATAGATATAGGAATATATTTGATTTGGTGGGAAACAGTGGTGATAAACTATTTTTACTATATAACATTTGTTTTATAACTATTATAATTTTGATGAGCACATAGACATGATTCTGCAGCTTGTGGAAAAATATATTCTGGATTCTAACTATCATGAACAGAGTGTATTTAGGTCCAGCTTATTCCTTTTTTTCAGCCTGCAATTTCAATGCTGACACTCACCCAAAAAAGGCAATTGTTAGAACAATTAGATTTATGATAGAGGGGAAGACACCATACTGGAATTGGAATTGGAATCAGAGGAGGTGCTTTAAGAGGCCTCACTGGGCTTTAGTCAAACCACTGAAGTTTTTATTTCAAATTTCTAATGGTCTGATTACTTTTAAATTATCCTTCAAAAATAAAATCATTTGTTCTCCTATGCAGTACATTTGTGATTTTTATTTAGTCACTATTTGTCTTTTGGTGGAGAAAATATATACTCTGTGTGTGTGTGTGGTTATACGCATACATATAAATATATCTACATATATCTACATGCATACAATATATGTGTATATATATATATATGGGTTTTACACACACACACATGCACACACACACACACACACACACACACACCATTTTATAAAAAGAATGTGAGGCATCCAACATTCATCATTTAGTACAGAATTTCTTTCATTGACAGAATCAAGGTAGGCAGTTCCCTCTCCTTGAGTCCAGCATGTGTCCTTTTGAGACACGTGAACTATTGAGAAATGGAGAAGAAATTACATTACATTGGATTCTTCTTCAGTCTGGAGTCCGCTCAAATGGGTTTGAATGAAATTCTTTATTAACATTGCCTAATTGGGTAAAACTGGATTATGTCTTATTACCTATTTCAGTTTAATATTGTTTTCAATTATTTTCTTCATAATTGTGATTTGTCTGGAAAAATTATTTCTTTGTGATTAGTAACTGTATTGGACACTGTGTAGCCATAATAATTGCCGAAAACTGTGTATATTGTTGTAAGATAAACGCTAAACTAAGTGCAAGTTTTGTTTTTGTCTTTTTTGACACATCACTCTGTATTTTTAAAAAAGCACCTATTATAACTGTATTTCCACTTAACAAGCCTCAGGCAAAATTCTTTTAAACACGTCTTTTTAAAAATGTCCTCAGTCCCCAGGACCTTAGAATTCTAACTTAAATTCCCATGTTCTTCTGAGAAGACATTTTATGAGATAAATTGGTTTGCTTTAAACTTATCTCATAGACACAACAAAGAATGAAACCATATGTTGTTATTATTCAAAACCAATTGTAACATTCTTACTATTGAAGAATGTATCGATTGCACTAACTTAACTTATTTTGCAGTAAACTATGTAACACCACTAACATGTTTTTCAGTTAAAATAATTTCCCTGTCGATTTTCTTTAAGTCCATCTTTGGTATTGTTTTTTTTTTTTGCCTTTTCTGTTCTTCTCTATAGTGTGCTCTTAATTCAGAAGTGGCTTTACGAGTTGGAGGCAACTTCTTTTATGATCCTCAGCCTGAAGACATTCCAGCAAACGTTATGCTCATAGCAGGTGGAGTAGGCATTAATCCTTTATTTTCTATACTGCTCCACATTGCAGACCTTCACAGAACTGAAGAGAAGAAAGGAAGTGGTTGCAAAGTGGGAACAACCAAACTCTTTTATTGTGCAAAAAATGCACATGAACTTCTGTTCAGGGTAGGTTTATTATATAAGATTTCATAATTTGCTTTAATGGCTACAAAACACCCTTAATTTTTTTTTTAATTTGAGAAGACAGGAACTACAGTGGGTAGGAGGTTGATGGAAAGTAGTGGGACTGTGTCATACACATAGGCAGGAACAGAATTTTCTATTTTGGTGAGCAGGATTTAGGGCTTACGTTTATAGTTTGCAAACTTTGTGCTCCCCCAAAATAAACTTAATAATCATATTAGGAAAGAAACAATTATAATCATTTATTTTAATATGTTGTTAAACTATGTGGTACTTCAGCTGCTTCAGGTAAAATGAAGAGCAAATGAAGAGGTTTTTTTACTTGATCTTCACAAGTTTGATTGCATTTTTTAAAAATGTAACTTTACTTCCTCAAGTGATCCCAACATATTTTGAGAACCCTGATTAACACTCTTGGTTTTATATATTTCTTGTCTTTCCTGCTTCACAATGACTGTGGTGTTATCAGAGGGAGCATTGGGAATTACAAAATAGGAGTTCAGGCCTAGATAATGTTTGGGACATCAAGTTGCTCATTGTATGGTTCCTACTGTATACCAGATTTGCTTCAGTTGTTGAAGCAACTTGGTAAAACTGAGCATTATGCAATATTAGGTAAGAGGAAGAATGTCAATAGCATGTGTTGTATTTTCTGTTGCTTGATTTGAATTGAGCAACAGTAGTATAATCTTTTCATTTTCAAATCAAGCCAACTACATTTGCAGCAGGCCTCTGATGTCCAGCCCAATCAAGATACTGTCAGCTGGAAGTGCTGTTGTTCTGACAATCATTTAGTGATTTTTGGAAACAGCATATAGGGATTTTAAAACACAGTTGTTTTCTAGTAAACTTTAAAAGGAGTATGCTGCTTCCACATGTTCTTTCTTTACTTTGTATTTCTTTTGCTGAACCCACAATTGAAAGTATATTCTAGGTAAGGAGGAGATCTAACCTTCACAGGGTTAGATTAGAAAGTAGATGACTATTGCTTGAGAGTTTATTTGTACAACTCAGCTCCATTATAAGGAATTGTTGCCTGAATTTGAAGTCATATATAAAAGAGGGAATTAGTTATGCTACTTTTTTCTTATGATGGGTGCTCAAAATACAATATTTGTATACTGTTCTTCAAATTTATAGAATCTGGACTATACAAACAACACATCTGCTTTGATTTATTTGACTGTGGTATGACTAAATATCTTGCACATTCCAGAAACAGATTCTTGGTTTGACAAATGCATTTCCTGGAAAGATCACATGCAGTTTCCACGTTACCAAGCAGAATTCGCCAATTTGTGAGAAACTTCTGCCTTACATCAAGGGTGTGTATTTTTGTGATGCATTTAAAAAAATGCATAAGAAGTTGTAGTTTTAATACTTTGAGAACCAAAGTAAATGTAGTATTCAGGTAGTTCTCACTTAATGACCTTAACTGAGACCAGCAACTTTGCCTCTAGGCAAAATGGTCAGTAAGTAGGAAACCACATGGTTAAGTCTCTTGAAGTTTCTTTTTCTCTAATATTTCTACTCTGCCTGAAGGCAAAGAATAATAGAATAATAGTAGAAAGGGACCTTAGAGGTCATCTAGTCCAATCCCCTGCTAAGCAAGAAACCCTATATCATTTCAGACAAATGGCTGTCTGATCTCTTCTTAAAAATCTCCAGTGTTCAATCACACACAACTTCTGGAGACGAGTTGTTCCACTGATTAATTGTTTTAACTGTCAGGACATTTCTTAGTTCTAGGTTGCTTCTTTCCCTGATTACTTTCCCTAACCCTAACCCTAACCCTTCAGGTGCTTTTGAGAATAGGTTTACCCCCACTTCTTTGTGGCAGACACTTAGATATTGGAACACTGCTATCATGTCACCCCCGCTAACCCTTCTTTCATTTTACTAGATATACCCAATTCCTGCAACTTTTCTTCATATGTTTTAGCTTCCAGACTGCTAATCATCTTTGTTGCTCTTCTCTGCCCTCTTTCTAGAGTCTTAGTATCTTTTTTATATCATGGCAAACAAACTGGATACATCATTCTAAGTGTGGTCTTACCAAAGCATTATAAAGCAGCCTAGAATTGTGTTGGCTTTTTTGGCAGCTGCAGCACACTGCTGGCTCATATTTAAGTGGTTGTCCACTGGGACTCCAAGATCCCTCTTGTAGTTACTAAGCCAGGTACTACCTATTCTATTCCTATGCATTTAGGGTTTTTTGCCTAAATGTAAAAACAACTTTTATTCCCATTGAATTTCATTGTGTTAGATTGGTCCCAGTGTTCAAATCGCTTCTCAGACTTTTGGCTAAGATCAAGTATAGTGTAAATCTGTCAAAGACCTTCTGTATCTTGAGCCTATCTTCTGGAGTGTTGCCTATTCTTGCCATCTTGGTGTCATCTCCAAATTAGATTACTTTTCCATCTATCCCCTCGTCTAAATCATTGATAATTTCTACAGGCAATTTCTTTTTTGCGTGACCCTTTCCCCACTACTGGCATGATTTTTGTCAGTGTAGCAAGTGGGAATAGTAATCTTTTCCTCTCCAATCTCTCTGCTCTACTGAAGTGGGGAGGGGTAAAGTAAAGGAAACATAGGCTATAGAAATCATTTGCTTATTTTCCCTTCCCTCTTACAGAGCAGAGGGCGGGAATGTAAAAAACACAGATCAGATGCAGCACAACATGTAGGAATACTGTAAAAGTTGAAAATGGGCTATTAAAGGTTTTTTTCCCCCCAGCACTATTGTTAACTTTAAAAGGTCTGAACAAATGGTTGGGAAGTGAGGACTGTAAAATATTGAGGGGAGGAGATTCATTATGCAAACTATGCATGTTTATTGAAAAATGTGTCCTTGTATGGACAACAAAGTTCATTCCCAGATGGGCACTGGAGCAAGTAAGGATCCTTATTCTGAGTAAGAATGTTATGTTTAAGAAAGTTAACAGTTTTCAAACTTAGTCAATATGTTTTTGCTTGCTTTTTATTCTTATTAAGATATATGGGTAGCCTTTACAGATATTTCTTTTAATGATTGATTCAATTTCCTTGATACTAGCTTGATTAAAGAAAATGTTTATTGCAAATGTTTAATTTGGCATTATATTATTAACAGCAATTAGAGTTTGGCTAAAACATGAAGGACTATAAACACATTTTTGTAAACTTTCTGTAGTAGCGGAAAAGGACCTAGCTAGCATCTTACTTTCTCTTTGTAAATTATTATACACTAAGCAAGCATTGGAAAGACACACTTCCAGGCATTTTGACCTGATTGAAGCATCTTTTAAAATGTTAACAAATTGACTTCCTCTGGAATTCTTGTGTGGCTTCTTTAAAGAATCTCCCTGGCTGTTTCAGATGCATGCATATTCACTGCTGCTTCATTAGTTCTAGCAGAAGTGTGATCCATGTAAACTCATGCCTTCTGGAAGATCTGGCTGTTCAAGGAGAAAATGCTTTGCTTATGCCAGCATGATTTATGAAGCTCTCATTTCAAATAACTATCATAGTTTTATTAAATGTCTTCATAAATGTTTTCTTAACTCTGTGTATTCTCTACTAGAAGGAAGATTATCTGGAAGTGACCTAGAAAAATGTATCTCCAAGAATACTTTGTGGTACATTTGTGGACCACCTCCAATGATAGAATCCATCTCCAAGCTGCTTGAAAACCTTGGGGTGGTTCAGAACAATATTTTCTTTGAAAAGTGGTGGTAGCACACCCAGTACCTCTCCAGGCAAAATAAAAATGAAGACATAATATATGCATTCTTGCTGATGAACACTGAGAGTTTATTAAATCAAGAAATTACATTAACAGAATTAACGGTAGCAATCCAAAAACAGAAGCCAAATAAGACCTCCAGGCCAGACGACTTACCAGGAGAATTATATCAAAAATTAGGAGAATTATTGGAACTAGTATTACAGGAAGTATGTAATGAGGCCTTGTTAAATGCAAAAATACTGGAATCGTGGAGGGAATCATATATTACCTTGATACGGAAAGAAGGTACCGATGTTAATCAAATCAAAAATTATAGACCAATATTGCTCTTGAATGCCGACTACAAAATTTTTATGAGTATTATTGCAGGAAGGACAAAAAAGATTTTAAATGAAATTATACATAGTGATCAGAATGGATTTCTACCACAAAGACAAATAAGAGACAATATTACAATAGTAATGAACATATTAGAATATTATGAAATGCAACCGGGAAGACAGGTGGCCCGTGTCTTTTTGGACGCACCAAAGCATTTGATAATTTAAATTGGGAATTTATGGTACGTCAAATTAAGAAAACGAAGTTTGGAGACAGATTTGAAAAATTAATAGAAATAGTTTATTCTTCTCAAAAGGCCAATATAATAATAAATGGAGATATAACAAGGGCATTTTGAATAACAAAAGGAGTCCGACAATGATACCCATTGTCACCTCTGCTCTTTATTTTGACACTAGAGACATTATTTATAAAAATTAGGAATAATTCAGAAATACAGGGAACAAAAATTAAGAAGAGTATAAACTACAAGCATTCACAGATGATTTGGGTTTTTTTTATTGAGGAGCCACTAGAATTAAGCCCAATTTTGATAGAGGAATTAGAAAAATATGGAGGGATTTCAGGATTTAAAATCAACAGAGACAAAACCAAAATGCTAGTGAAAAATATAAATTGAAATAAAAAGGAGTTAGAAAAAGTAATGGGACTACAAATCACAAAAAAATTAAATATTTAGAAATATGGTTAACAGCAAAGTACTCCACAATAAAAGAAGACAACTACACCAAATTACTCAATCAAATTTAAAAGGATTTGGAAAAATGGGGGACTCTACTATTATTGTTATTAGGAAGAATAGCGACTATAAAAATGAATGTCCTGCCAAAGATTCTATATTTATTTCAAACAACTCCAACAAAATTAGATAAGAATTTTTTTAGAGAGCTTAATAGAATAATCACAAAATTTGTTTGGGCAGGCAAAAAATTCCAAATAAAGTTAAAAGATTTACAAGATAGTAAGAGCAGAGGTGACCTTGGGCTTCCAGATTGGGAACTATACCATAAAACAGCAATACTTGTATGGATACGAGATTGGCTCAATCTAAGGGAAAAAAAGAATATTAACTATAGAAGGGCATGACAAAGAGGATGGCATGCCTTCCTGTGGGACAAAGAAAACAAGCTGTATCTATACTTTTATAGACATAAAATAAGAAATGTGCTGATACAATCATGGAAACAAATAAAGAATAAATATTATTTGAAAATTCCAAACTAGTTATCTCCCTTGGAAGCAGTAATCCACCCCAATATAACGGAGTTTAAGAAAATGGCTAGGGAATTAAACTGGATTGGTGGACCTATATGCAAATTCAAACAAGATATAAAAAAGACAGTGAGGAACTTGGAATAGATAATGAAATACAAAAACTAGATAAAATCTTGATTGTCCCAGATGAGAAATTATTATCAAAGTTATATAAACATTTATTAGAATTTGAAAGAGCGGAAGAAATTGTGAAAGGAATGATGATTGCATGGGGTAGGAATGTTGGACATACTATTGATTTCGAAGAATGGGAAAAGATTTGGAATGTGAATTATAAAATAACCAAATCGGCGGCATATAAGGAAAACTAAGATAGAATGTTTTACCATTGGCATTTGGCACCTTCAGGATTGGCTAAGTTTTACCCAAACTTAAAACCAAATTGTTGGAAGTGTGGACAACAAGAAGGTACCTTCTTTCATTCTTGGTGGACATGCCCTAAAGCGAAAAAAATACTGGAAAATGATTCAAATGTGGTTAGAAGAGTTAACTAAAAACAAAATTGATTTTGTCCCAGAATTATTCTTCTTAGGAATAATAAAAAGCTATAATAGAAAGATAAAATATCTTATATTACATATATTAACAGCAGGAAGAACTTCATATGCTCAGTACTGGAAGGAAAACTGTACCACCTGAAGGCTTAATAATCAAAAAATTTTTAGAGTGTATGGAAATGGATAAATTAACTATGGAATTAAAAGGGAAAACAGACACAGAATACAATGTAGTATGGGAAACATGGTTTATTTGGATAGATAATAGATATAAAAATAGAAAATGTAAATAATATATATAATAAATAAGAGGCTATGAAAGTATTATGCATTGTAAGTTTTGATAGGACACATAAATGTATATATAATGTCACAGCGCTGTTTAATAACTATTGGTAATATGTATAAATGGAAAAAAATTCAATAAAGCATTAAAAAAAAATGTAATAACATTGGAAATTTATGTGGAACTGGTCTTGGGAACAATCTTAATATTTATTTATTTGCCTACCTGCAAAGTTTATTGGCTGTTTTAATGAACTGTCTCAAGTGATGTTCAAATACCCCTCCCCAATACATAATTTGGGCTAAAAACAAATATTTTTGTCAAATATGTATAGTCACTCATCTCACAAAACATAACTCTGGGTAGTAATAACTCTTTGTAACAGACCAATGTGATATTACGGTAACAGTAGCTGGATCTTCACTGAAGGTCCACTGACAAGGAATTGGGGTTGAGAGCAAGGAACAGAATGTGAGACTGTTACAAGACAATGGTTCTATGGACCCTGAGGGTGGCTCGCTTACTGTCTCCTGCCACATATTCCCATGCCCATTACTACTATAATATTATGGGCTGTCTTTATTTCCCTATAATAATTTCATTCTCCAAATCAAACTGCCTAAGACGCAGGACCAGAAAGCCAAGTCTCCTCATCACACACCTCTATGAGGGTAAGCCGGCCACTCTAAGGGGCTTTAGCTCCAATATTTCTGAGTACCAACACAGCACTCAATCCTCACCACTCCACATACTACCACTCACGAGTCCCGATCCCCCACATACACACATGTTAAAGCACATTCAGACATCCAACTAGACATAGGCTCTCTCCTCCACTACTAGCAGTAGGAGAGTTCCCTTCATTAATCTGTTCCCAATTCACCAATTTCTCCTTCCCAGCTTTCACCCAGAGGAAAGATTAATCATTCACTGAGGCACTTAGTACAGGTGGAGCCATGTTTGGTTGCTTTGCCTAATAAATTTTTTTTAGTTTCTTTCAGATTGTCTTTCGGGTTTGTACATGCATATTTTTGTAATATACAAAAAAAGTAAATGGAAAGAAAACAAGTAGAAAAATATAAACTAACATAATCACAGATATTAAATATCTATTTTACATACTATGTAATAAGTCTTGTTCAAATGGAATTATGGAAATAAAGGGCCTTTTTTATAAGTAGAGAAATAAATACTTCAGATTAAGATTTTAAATCCAAGGTAACATTTATAATTGTTGCTATATTCCAAGCACAGTAAATCCAAAGTTCAAATACTGATAAACACAATTTTATTTAATTCTATTATTTATATGTCACTCAATTCCAAAATGTTTCAGAATTGCTTTATAAAATTCAGCATCACATTGACTTCTTTACCGTTCATTCATTTCTACAGAACTGCATTAACAAATGTATGAATAATAAACATCCTCTGAATTGTCTGTAAACATGAAAAATAAATTGTTGAATAAATGGCATTAAATGAGGTGAGTCATTTTAATTTACATTAGTAGAAAACCAAAAGTTATTTAGTGGCAACTCTTCTAACACATTTATTAAAAAGGTACAGAAATCTTATGCTTTATAATACACTTATTAATCACAAAAATACCAAACTTTGATATTTTTTTTGTTGAATCAATATATTTAGATTAAAAGAATGATAATTTTTAATAGTCACTCAGGTTCTAGTCACCTCTCATCTGGATTACTGCAGTGCATTCTATATGGGGCTACCGGTGAAGGCTATTAGGAAACTTACAGAATGCACCTGCACAGACAGTTCTGGTGGCCCTTAGGGTAGGTGTTACAAGGTGGCCCATGTAACATCTCTGTTAAATGAAGTTGCACTTGCTGTGAGTTTGCCTCTGGATCCAATTCAAGATATTATTACCTATAAAGCCCTTTATGGGATGGGTCCAGGTTACCTCAGGAAACATCTCATCCCAATGGGATTGGCCTGTCCCATTTGTACTGGCAGAAGGAGCATACTGCAAACCCCGTTGACCAAGGAATTCCAGTTGGCAAGGTCCAGGAGTCAAGCCTTTTTTGCTATGGTTCCTGGACTCTGGAACATCGTACCTCTTACAATGAGATCTGCCCCCAGCCACTTGGCTTTCTGAAAGGGTGTTAAAACTGGGCTCTGCCAGTTGATTTAAAGCCAAGATGGGAACATACTGTTAGGTATAACATAGGTCACCTAACTAGTTTGGGTAAAATAATATATATAAGCTAGGATTGTTAGTTTAAGTGTGTGTCACTTTAACTGCAAAGCATTTAATTTTGGGTGTGGTGTGAAACCACCATAAGAGGGAGCAAGAGACGCTGTCGGTTTGCTGGCAATTACTGACAATTACTGGATTGGATTACGTTGATGTTTGTTAGCTGCGTGTTTTCCCTACTGAAGAGTTGCTGACAGAAGAGAGGAGTTTTTGAGTTCTGCATATCTCTCTACTGCGAGGAGATATATCATCGGACTGATATTTGTAAGTGTACTGACCTGTCTTTTTCGACACTGGAATTTGCAAATGAATAATCCCTGGACGGACTGAACTAAGTGAATGATATATGGACTGTTTTGACTATGCTTTAACTCTTGCTGGAATAAAACTATTTAATAGGCACTGTGTATCTGGTTTACTGAGTGTAAGCTACAAAAACACTTATCTCACATATTTTGCCTGCCTGCCTGCCTGCCCTGCAGATCTTGCTAGGGTATATCCCTAACACATACCATTCTAGATGTGGTTGGGTTAAATAAAAGATCCCATTACCACTCCATTATATATCCCACCCATGTTAGCAATTTTTCTGCTAATTTTAATGCTATATTTTATGGGTTTTTTAAACATTGTTTTACCAGGTATAAGCCACCCAGAGACACATAATGGTGAGAGGCACAGTATATATATTTAATAATTTTATTGTTAATATCAAATATCCCAACACTTTCCAAAATTACTGCAATACTTATCCGGATAATATTCTTTAATTATTACCTAAAACTATAGACTTGGAATATCTCAAAATGAATCATTTAGGAGCTCTAGAAATTTCTACGGCATCTAGACCAAATTGTAAGATCTGCATGTGTTGCCATATATTGTCATTCAGTTTTAGGCAACCTAATTTTCCCTTGTATTGCCTCAACTTGAAAGAAAGGAAATTAGCACAATTGGGACATCTTCTGGACACGTTCTGTATAACATTTCACTTCACAATAGAAATTAAACCAGAGCTGAGAGAAAGAGAATGCAACTGCATAAGTATTATTAGGTCACGTTCTGTAAAATTGATTAGTAATTTGAACAGGTATTGTATTGCACCCAATTATTTTGAACTGTATAAAAGCATCCTAGTTTTCATGAAGACATCAAGGGTACTTGACATAAAAGAACGGAGTAAAACTATTCATGTACTAACTCTTCAGAAGCATTTTAAGACAGTTCCACGTTTAGATTGATCAGATAACCGAACAGGCCAGGGAGAGATGAACAACTGAAAATGAGGACAAATAGGGGCAGGGGAAGTAGGGCATAGGATTTAAAATTTGAACTGTCAACAGAAATTACAATAAGACTGCAAAAGTGCTTAGTCCTATATGTATAGGAAATTGCTTTTGCAGTATCAGAAAGATTTCTTTCAATTGTGATATTTTTATAACAAAATGTATTTTGAAGAACATGCTAGCAATAATATCGAATTGACAATGCACTATAAAATTGCATGAGTCATGCAATCTGTAGACTACAGTGATCATAGCTCATCCAGTAATGGATCATAGAAGACGTTGGATTGAAGTTGATTGCTGGAATCTGCAAATAAATAATGTAAAGCTAGCTGCTGAGTCTGTTGACATACGATGGAAAGAAAGAAACAGACAATTAACAAGGTAACAGTATACTTAAGTTTGAATGAAAACTCCAAAATACTGAAAAAGCTGAATAATATTTTAAGTTATGCTTGTTGGACATGACAAAAACCAAGTCTTCCTTTTGCTAGACATCTAGTGATCCTAACCAGGTTTTACCTCAGTTGCTTAACAGTAAATTTAAAAACTATTCCAGCAGAAATAAATACATTTTAACATTTTACTAATCTAAAATCATTTTGCATGTGTATGTGTCTTGAATATTTACACATATTCACCCACTCTTATATATGCAGGGTATACAGGGTGCTGATGTCCCCTAGGAAGAACCAAACTAAAAAACTGTCATATGTCCATCAACTGCTCCATTGATGCAAAATAACCATTACAGCCCATCCCCACAAATTTCTGAAATTATTATCTATTTTTTCTTACAGATTCTTCCCTGGATATATTCCACCGATTGGCTATGTAAAGAGAATATTTTTGGAATGCATTAGTTCTCTCTGTGTTCATATAAGCCCCCTCATCCTGTCACGGCCCTGATGGAGGTGAGGGGAAAGGGACAGAACTGTTTGGCTTTCTGCAGAGTAGGACAGGAGGGGGACTCTTTATCAACTTACATAAATACACTAGTGAGGATAAATTTCTTTGAAATACCAATTTTGCTTTCTCTGATCTTGAAGAAATTAATCTCCCTCAAAAGGGAGATTATCTGTGACAGTAACACTGTAAAGCTTAAAGTGGAACTATAAACCAATTTTCTGTAGCAGCTTTTTAATGGAACTATTTCTTTTATAATTTAAGCAGTTGACAAGTGATTGATTCTTTTAGGATATTCCAGTAGCCCATCCATTACCAAAGACGAGCTGCATAGTCCTACCTTTTTGCCAAAAACCTAACAAAGTCCTCAATTTTAAGGCCTCTTGACTTTTATTACTGAGTTTATTTCTCCTCACTCTGTAATTCCTTGTTTCTTTCTGTTACACTACAGTAACAAGGATATATCTCGTTGTTCATAGGATATCACAGGCATCTGTGTACCTAGTGTTGTGGAATACATTTTGGTAGGGATTGTTCACCATGAGAATTTGTCTGCTAGCAGTAGGAAAAATGTGTTTCTTTGAGATGTTCAATTCTACAGTAACATTCTTTTAATAACACACGCACTTCAAATAAGCTGTTAAAATCTATTTCACCTAAAATATTTCCTCTGAAGCAAAAGGACAGAGGGCATATCCGTGTAATTGCAAAATTATATTCTCCAAGTGATTTACTAACTAATTATTCATACTGAAGCTTTAATTTTTTATCATTAAGATTTTCTTATGCATCTTAATGGTTTAAGAGTGTAGCAGTATTTTTTTTAATGTAAATTATAATTCATTTGATGTGAAACTTCCTTAATCGAAGAGGATAGAAGATTATTCATGCAGATGGGGACAAGGATGGGTTATATCTCCAAAAGTAGGAGCCTATGTATGCAAAACTATACAACTCAAAGACACACTGGTTATCTTCACCTTATTTGCCAGAGAAAAGCTTGTCAATTTATTATTTATTGTTGTTACATTTATACTTCCCATCTTGCCTAGGAGACTTACAACAAAAAACAAATCATCATGATAAAACAATTAAATATTAGAATAAATATTACCCTTAAAATATGACTTAAAAATAACAAACATGGCAATGAAGGGAGCATGTTCTTATGGGAAAGGGAAGCAATGGCTATGGCCTTGAAAATAATTCTTCCTCACCATATTTGATACTGGAAACTCTCCATACTTCCCATTTTAGGGAAGATTCTTGACAACTTGATGGTGAATCAGGTGTAAAAATGACTTAGGACATGTCATCTGGATCCCCTTCAGTCACAATTTAGACTTTAGATTTGAAACAACATTGGTCACATTGGTGGATAATTGTTGTTGAGACCTGGATGTGGGTATGTAATGCAGTGTTTTTGGTCCTATTGGATCTTTCAGCAGCTATTAATATGGTTGATAATGTTATCTTTTTGGACTGCCTTCAAGAATTGGGGGCCATGTTCTACTTCCAGAAGAGTTCCAGTTGCTTGTGGTATTGGTTGTTCTTCATTTATTGATGTGCCTGTGGGTATGCATGTGTATCTTTTAAGTCTTGGTCTTGGGCAGTATTTCTTGATCAGAGTTTTATGGATGAACCTTCTTTTACAACTAAGACTCCTTCTCTAACATCTTTTTGGAATATGAAAAAAAATAGCTCATTCAGAAGGCATTTGGTAATTGTGTTCAACATTGTAATTCTTTTTGTTACGCAAAGTGTCCTGAATTTTTAAATCTATGTAAATAAATAAAACATTCATATTATGGTTTTCTTTAAAGATCATTTAATGCAAACACATTTATATCTAATTATTTTTAATGCTACTGTCAATTTTTAATTATTGTATTATACTAGAAGTATAGTGAATAGTTATCATGGTAAACATTGATAGATCTGGTATAATCTAACAAGCAAACTGGAAGAATAAAAACTAGATGGTACAGGCTAGAAGTTGCAGTATAGAAAACGAAGCTTCAAAGTCTGGCTCAGATGAAGTGGAGAGAATATCTGTTAGAGGACTAGTGCTAATACAGTAGATAATTGCATGCTGCTCTTAATTCAAAATGAAGCAACTCAGCATGTAGTTGCTACATGTAATGTACAAATTTTTGCTTAGTAATCATATTCTCCATCATTAGAATCATGTCAATTGAAACATTTATGACTTAACAAACCATGGTTTATGAAGATTCTTCTTCATTTAGTTTCTCTTTGATCTTGCTCTGATTAAACTGCAATCTAAACTTCATTTATAAATGAAAGTGCACTTGGGTATTTTTGTAAAAACCAGGAGGAAACTATAGCATTAACATTAAGTCATTGTTCTTTGATTTGGCCAACAATTGACCAAAACCAAGGTGCAGTGTGTGATGGTAGTAAATAAGAATAGTGAATGGTGATTGAAGAATTGCTTCTGATCCTTTGGTATGCGGACTGGGTTCAAGTGGGTGCACCATTTCTATAAAAGGTTCTGTAGATATAAGGTATGATTAAAAGGTATGATTAAAAAAAATCAAGATGGCAGCACAAAGCAATGTTGTCAGCTTTGAAATTCATCTGCCACATTTTTTTTAAAGAGAGTTGGAGGAGTTGAAAAGTTCAAGGTTATTCTGTATGTCGTATTAAGAAATTCCAGTGGCAGTTAACTGGTTCTCATGATTTATGAAGTGTAGAAGTGGGAGGAGAGAAGGGAGAAGGTGGATTCTGCGTAACGCGCGAAAAATTTTCACTTTGGGAAATGGCCTTTGACATGCCAAATCTGTTTCTAAATAAATCAATTGGAGAGAAAATGTCTCAGAGTGATTGATATCATGGATACTTTCTGGATGCCTTACACATGTCTTATATGTATGATACACATGAAAAACAGGAAGAGTGTCAACCACATTGCCATAGTTATCATTTTGATTTTTTTTTTACCATATCCTGTGAGCTCTTTGGGTAGCATGTTTTAAACTCTGCACTCTAGATAATAAAATGTTAGCCAAATCTAGATTTAAATATTTCTAAATTGTTTGTGTTATTATGTTCTCCCTGGATGCACATAGATTACAGGTTATTTGTATTTAAGCAAAAGCTTAAGGCATTGGCTTACTTTGGGGTTTATTGAATGCTAAAAGTAAATGGAGTTATTTCTGAATAGTTAGCTAAGTTGCTGTAGCCAGAATAAATAAGCATTCTACAGTTGTTGGGGGGATGGAGAACTAAACTGATAGTATGTCTTGGTTTGTGCATTGAACAAATGCTTTAAGCTATTCTTCCATTATGTTTTATGTGTCCATTTGAAGTAGTCCACACTGTTATAAAATGTTCTGCAAATTGCCGTTTCTTGTACATTAAGCTGGCAGTTAAAAAAACAGGTTAAGTATGCATGATGTGTACCTAGAGACCATGTTTTACTGAATCAAAATACTTTACAGAAAAACTAATGGGAACTATCAAACATGAATCAGCCAGTTGGGAAAAGAAACAGTATTTTTTTTATAGTCTCTAAATTTTTATTTGTATAAGGACAACATTTTCAAAACACTTTACAAAATCTGAACAGTAGCCAAATAGTGAATTGGTAATAAGAGAAGCAACTACAAATATGTACAGTTAAATTCAAGTATAGTTAGAGGTTTACAAATTCAAATTACACAGGTTTTATTATAAAAGTTGATATTTGTAAAATATGAGAAAAGTCACATTGTGTGGAATCACTATGTAGGAAATTTATTTTTCTTAATCTTCACCCATATATTTCAAGACCACAGTGGCTTTCATTCTGGCACCAATTATTCCATAAAATAATTAATATTATTCTGTGAAATTCTGAGCAAGACTTCTTCCCTTTGCAAAACAAGAAGATGACAGGAACAATCTTTTAAAATTAATACAACTTAATGTGCTTTTTTGAAAAATAAACATATTGTTTTATAGCCTGGATTATTAAGTGATTAAATAGTAAACATACATTGGACAAGTATATAGAAAATTATTGTGTGCTCTGCCTCTCCATCACTAGTGGCTTTTCAAATAAAATATGAATCCCCATTATTGCTTTAAAATTCTGAAAAAGATTGTTTAATCCAAAGACAATACAAATGGATGCACTTAAGACAAAATCTAATTATCATCACTTCTTTTAAAGCTTCTAAACTCCTAAATTCCATTCTCTGGAGAATAAAAAAGTGGTATACATCAACAACACTTTATTTAAAAATATTATATTAAACATATTTTGAACCATGTTTGGTTCAAAAGCAATTTATCCATTGAATTCCATGATTAGCAAAAAAAGCTGAATGAGTTTGCATCTACTGGTAACATGAAGATACAGCAGTGCTAGCATTTCTTCTATGTACCTATAAAAATTCAACATTATCAAACCAAATCTAATGTAGAGTTATATTTGTGATATTCATAATGAGTCCTTTATTTTGGCAAATATTTGCCCCTCTCAATCAGCTAATACCTCAGGGATCCAGTCAGTTCCTGTTGCTTCTGCTTCATACATCCCGTCATCTGCTGTGGTGCAATGGTCTTGAAACATCTGGCTTTCAGTTTTCATGTGTGCTGTTCTGACAGAAGGCCCCCATGTCTTCATCACCACTCTGACTTGCATTCCATGTTTCAGCAGATATCTCCTTGTCATAGGAAGGCATTCTGTGCTCAAGAGTCCTGTCTTCAGCACAAGCCAGCTGCTGATACGAAATTACTGGAAATTGTAAATCATTTGTGGAAAGCTGTGCTTCTGAATTTTTTCCATTTGTAGCTTCTGACTCCTGCGTTTCTTCTGTCTGCTGCTGTTGGGCTCTGGCACTTAGCTTTGCCTTCAGAGGTTTCTTCTCTTGCTGGTGTTGGTCTTGTTTAGAGAATCTCCAATGTAACTGAAAACAGATATAATAATACAGGTTATGCTTGAAAAAGAAGAGGCATCAGGAGAAATCTTCAACTGCCAGCTTAACATTCATTTGATTTTTAAAAGATATGCTAAGACAGCACAATCTTGCTTTTTAAATAGAAATTATTTTGAAAGAAAGGGCATTACTTTGAGTATTAGATACTGTTCTACAGATACATCTTTAAGCTTCTCAAGGGAAAAAAAATAATTTCCCAATGTCAACAGCTTTTTATCAGTTGTATTTTTAAAACGTGTTAGTCATGATTTAGTGGCTCCAGCAAATTATTTTTTCCTTAAAAGAAGTTCACAAACTAAAACATTTCACTGTAGTTAGAATGTTTTCTTGATATATGAAAACAGGAAGCCTTACGTAAAAGGAAGGTGTTACGATGCTTCAAATTTGATTCTGACAAGGTTTTCTGTTTTCTGCAAAAGCAGAAAAACAGTGCCTATTGGCAAACTTGTTACAGCAGCTGCATCTTTCCAGGATTCTGTACTCTAAAGTACTATTTCAGGATTGATTCTGAGACCTTGCAAAATCTTAATCAATACTAAATGAAACTAAAATGCAATAGATATTGCATGTACCTGATGAATGCTTCTATATTATATCTTGTGTGCTTCAATTTGAACAATAAAGTACTCAATTTCTTGAAAAATATTACACATTGGCAAGGAAAAAAATATTCTGTAGGATGTATTATTATACACAACAATATATTACAGCTGTCAATTCTCTAGCTGGTGTTGGATTTCATTTGTACTGAATTATTCCCAAGAACCTAGAATGTCATAATGTATCAATGTAGTACATCTTTAGATCCAAGCATTGTGGCTTTTTGTAATTGACAAATGGAGAGTTTGTCAATGTGCAGATTTCTTAAGTGCTGCCCAACTGCCATCTGGCTGGTTTATGCTATAATCTTTCAACTTCAATTATTATTTTTCAACTTCAATGTATTTTTTTCCTTTCAATTTCTTTCAGCCTCAATGTATAATGTGGGAGTAATCTACAGTGGTCTAAGACTAGTGGAAACTTAATAATTCAAGTCCTAACCAGGGACCTAAGAATGATTATAATAACATCTAAGAATAAATGCAGTTGAAGCAGGGTGCTTTTTGGTAAAATTAAATTATTTGAGTTTGGTAAATGCAATATTTCCTGATATTTGGGAGTCCTTTAGGTACCACTAAGAGGACTCCAATTATTTTTATTATAATAACTGCAATAATGATCTGCAAATAGACATAGAATAACTTGGCAAAAGAAAGCAAAGGTAGTCCCAATAAATGCCTTGGGTGCAATCCCAAAACTACTGGAGCACCACTTAAACACCATTGGCATTGTCAAAAATTCAATATCAGTTAATTGCAAAAGGCAGCTTGGAACAGTTTACATCTTGTAACAATACCTCCAACACTGTTAAACATCAACATCTTGTCTATTCCTGGTACTTGGGAAAGATTTGATAGGTGGATAAAAATGCCAAATCCAGTCTAAACATCTGGCTGACTATGTGACAATAATAATGGTTTAGAGGTTTAGACTTGATTTGGCATTTTTATCCAGCTATAAAGTCCTTTCCAATGAATGGGAATAGGCAGATGTTTGCTGTCTGATTTATTATTATTACTATTACTACATTCACTCACTCACTCACTCACCACAACCAAGTTAATAGAATTGCTCTGCACAATTCCTTAGCTGACAAATTCTGGCTAATTAAGCTCCCTAAAGAACACTCCTAGCTTCCAAAATAATTAAGGTTAGCAGTCTGAATTATTCTGCACTCCTCACTACCATAGTAGATTAACCAAACTGGGTCAACATCATGCCATCTGAACATTTTCCTAATTCATGCAGCTAACTTGTTCAGTTTGATCCCTTTCACATCCTATTTCTTTTTTCTGACAGAAATGCTGACATGTGTTCAGTGATCACCTTGCAGCATCACAATTTTACCAAGAGTTTTTCTTCAAATTTCTGACGGAAATTTGAACACAAAGGAACACATAGACCAGTGATGGTGAACCTTTTCAACACTGAGTGCCCAAACTGGAACATATGTGTATGTCTGGGTGCTGAAGCACCGTGTGCATGCCTGTTTTTTGGCTGTTCTTTGAGCCGTTTTTGGGCCATTTTCAGGCTGTTTTTCAGGGCATTTTTGGACTGTTTTGGGGGCGTTTTTTCAGGGCATTGTTCAGGTTGTTTTTGGCCCCTCAAAAATCCTGAAAATGATCTGAAAAAGGCCCCCAAAATGGCCTGTTTTTGGGGCCATTTTCCAGCGCCCACAAAGACAAGCTGGCTGGCATGCCAGAAACCAGGAGAGCAGCTGGCGATGGTGTGCATGCCCACAGAGAGGGCTCTGTGTGCCACCTCTGGCACATGTGTTATAGGTTTGCCATCACGGATATAGACAGTCTATCTCTAGATTTTCTTCTTTAAATAAATCATTCACATTGAACTATGAAAAAACTTAATTCTATTGTGGCCAGAGCATACAAATGATTTATCAGTTCAGAGTAAAATCAGAGCCAGAACAAACTGGGAAGAGTACAGTATAGACGGCTGTTGGCAACCCGGCATGTGGCTCTTTCATCCTTCTGCTGTGGCTCCCTGTCATGGCAGAGGGATGAGAGAGCTGTCACTTTGTTGTGGCAATGGCAATAGCCGGAGCCTTAATGTGGGAGCCTCTGCACAGCAACAGGATTCTGCCTTCATTGTGGTACATTTGTTGTTGTCACCAGCAAAGAGGGCTGGAGGAGAACAGTGGGGGCAGATCTTGGGGGCCATCCCCCAAACCTAGACTTCCTCCTCCGTTGTTGGCGGGGCCAAGAGAAAAAAAGGGGCGGTGTGGGTAAGTACTCTCCTCCCCTGCAGAGCACAAAAACCAAGCGGGGGGGTGAGTTGGACAGTGGAGAGGCCTGGCCCAGCTCTCACAGCGGGATACTGTTCAGCACCTCCAGACGCGAGCTGCCGCCTTTGAAAGTGCTGCGCCTTTGAGGAAGCCAGGCACTGATGGCTGGGGTCATGGGGGGAACAGCAGAATCATCAGGGCTGCTCCAACCCCCCTCAGCAAGCCAGGCCTGGAAGAGCATGGAGAGTTGCAGGCCGAGCACTGGAGTGTCAGAAGAATCACAGCAGTAACTGTGAGAGGGATTTTGGAGTCTTAGTGGACAACCAGCTAAATATGAGCCAGCAGTGTGCAGCAGCAGCCAAAAAAGCTAATGCAATCCTAAGTTGCATTAACAGAGGGATACAATCGAGATCAAGTGAGGTACTAATACAACTCTATAAAGCCTTAGGAAGACCACACCTAGACTACTGCATCCAATTTTGGTCACCACATTATAAAAAAGATGTTGAGACTCTAGAAAAAATACGGAGAAGAGCAACCAGGATGATTAGGGGACTGGAGACTAAATGAAGAATGGTTACTGGAACTGGCCATGGCTAGTCTAGTGAAAAGAAGGACCAGGGGAGACATGATAGCAGTCTTCCAATATTTGGGGAGCTGCCACAGAGAGGAAGGGGTCAAGTTATTTTCTAAAGCGCCTGTAGGCCAGACAAGGAATAATGGATGGAAACTGAACAAGGAGAGATTTAACCTGGAAATAAGGAGAAACTTTCTGACAGTGAGAACAATCAACTAATGGAACAGCTTGCCCTCGGAAGTTGTGGGAGTGCCATCACTTGAGACTTTCAAGAAGAGATTGGACTGCCATTTGCCAGACATGCTGTACGGTCTCCCGCTTGGGTTGGGGGTTGGACTAGATGACCTACAAGGTCCCTTCCGACTCTGATTATCTGTTATCTGACGTGCTCTGACGTCACCCCAATATGCGTTTCCAGCGTGCTCCTCTATCCCGAAGTGGAATTGAGTGGGAGGTATGGGGAAGGGAGCAGTGGGAAGGGTAGGTGGATTCTAGGAGAAGTCTGTCTGGCTTTTATTTTGGCAATGGGTGGGAAGAAAAGCCAATAAAAATCCAATTTCTCCCAATAAATGGGGAAAATAAAGGCCTGGTGGTCCAGAGTCCAAAAAGGAGGGTGGGGTCTGTATTGGAGGATCAGTGAGGAAATCAGTTGAAATCTGGGCGGGAGGCTATTCAGAGAGGGATCTGCCAGGGTCTCTTCTTCCCTCCTCCTTAGACTCCCCCCTCCTGGCTTTCTTCCTAGCCTCATTTTAAGGAGAAAGGTTGCAAGGTGGGACAATAGTGGCTAAAAGGCTGTGAGGGGGGAGCAGATAAAGAACCCCCTCCATGGTATAGACTGGCTTTTTGCTTCCCCACCAGCTTCAGAGCATTTTCCATGAGGAAGCGAAGGGCTTTGGTTGGAGGCAACTGGATAAAACACAGCAGCTGCAGACCGCACCAAGTTCTCAGACTGGTAGTCCCCCCGACCCTCTCTCTTTACTCCCCCAAGTCCAGAGGGGACTCCCCCCTGGATTTCCAGGTTCATGTTTCTGAGTCCTGTTTTTTTTCTGGATGGGGAGTAGGAGAGACATTCTGTAAAATGTGTGCTTAAATCTTGCGCCAGTGCAAAGTCCTGATTATTAAAGACAGGAATGGGGAAAATATGCCATTTCTTTCCCAAGGACCCAGGAAAAATGGAATAAAAATAGGTGTGTGTGTGTGTGTGTGTGTAAATAACAGCCCAGGATAGCTTCAGTCACAAAACAATAGTTTCTGTTATTGTTGCTGAGCACTTTTAAGCTCTCATTCAGCATTCTTTAATAAATACTAACAATAACAAAGCATAATATACAGGATTAAAGGAAAGAAGGTGAAATCAGAGAAGTGGGGAGGAAGGAAGGAAGGTGAAATCAGGAGGAGAGAAGAAAGGAAGGTGAAATCAGGAGAAGAAAGGAAGGTGAAATCAGAGCGGAATGAAGGAAAGAAGGAGAAATCAGGGGGAGGAAAGGTGAAATCAGAAGAGGGGGGAAGGAAGGAAAGGGAAGGAAGGAAGGAAGGAATAAAGATGTGATG